TCTCGCACACACACACATATATGTGGACATTTCCTTACACTGTTAGCGTGTGCTCTCGCACACACACACACACACACATATATGTGGACATTTCCTTACACTGTTAGCGTGTGCTCTCGCACACACACACACACACATATATGTGGACATTTCCTTACACTGTTAGCGTGTGCTCTCGCACACACACACACACACACACATATGTGGACATTTCCTTACACTGTTAGTGTGTGCTCTCGCACACACACACATATATGTGGACATTTCCTTACACTGTTAGTGTGTGCTCTCACACACACACACATATATATGTGGAACATTTCCTTACACTGTTAGCTCTAGCGCACACACACACATATGTGGAGCATTTCCTTACACTGTGAGTATGTCACTGTGATTGATTTGATAAAAAAGCTGATTGGCTGGTGACAGCTAGTTAGTTGGGGTTTGGGGGCGCAGGGAACACTGGGGAGAAGGATGGAGTCTGAGAAGAGGACATGAGAGAAAGAGCAACAGAATGGGAAGTTTGTACATGAGGTAAATGAGCCCTGGGTTCATTTACAAGAGCTAGTTAAAAACAAGTCTGAGCTATGGCCAAGCAGGTATAACTGAGTCTCTGTGTGGTTATTTGGGAACTGGCTGGCATAAACACACACACACACACACACACACACACACAATATATATATATACACACACACACACACATTAACTTTACAAACTGTGTTTTATATTATTTCTCATACGGTGTACTGCCTGCATATATGCTGGTGTACCACATTTGTGCCTGGTGCCTGAAGCTGATTTGCTGGTACTGGAGTTAGAGACACTTGTAAGCTGCCATGTGGGTGTTGGACCCAGACCCTGGTCCTCTGGAAGGGCAGCCAGTGCTCTTAACCACTGAGCCGTCTCTCCAGCCCCTGTATATATACTTCTTTTTTCAGCACAACAAGTAATGTCAAAAATTCCAAATTGGTGGTTATGCAATATGTGAATCCATAATATTTCCCCTGTACTAGTCTTTAATATTTCCAAAGGGCTTTCACTTACATTATTTCCAGGCAAAATAATTCTGGAGGCCATGGATGTTAGTTCCTGCCTATAATCCCAACACTCAGTAAGCAAAGTAAAAAAATTCTGAGTTCGAGGCCAGCTCTGGCTACATAGCAAGTTCTGAACCAATCTAGGATACAAGGCAGTGTTGGTGCACGCCTGTAATCCCAGCACTGGGGAGGCAGAGGCAGGCAGATCTTTGGGTTCAAGGTAGGCCTGGTCTACAGAGTGAGTTCCAAGACAGCCAGGGTTACTCAGAGAAAGCCCTTCTTGAAAACCCAAAAAGAAAAAAGAAAAACCCAGGTACTGCTTTCCACTTGGAAAACATATTTGACACAGACTCCCAAGAATGCTGCCATAGGTACAGATTGGGAAATACCCCTGAAGGGGATCAGGCTTTGAAAAAGGAGGGAAGAAGAGTTGGGGCTGAGCGGAAAAACAAAGTCAGGCATGGTAGAATCTGTAATCCCAACCCCTGGAAGGCGGAGACAGAGGGTCACTGCAAATTCAAGATCAGCAGGGGCTACACAGTGAGATCCTCCCTCAAATCACTGGTAAGGAGGGAAAAGTAGAGATGTTGTTGCAGGGTGGGCGACTTGGCCATTCAGAGCAATAAAGCTGGGCTGAACAGACACATGACAGACGCATGCCTACAGACATGGAACCAAGTCCAAGTTCCAGTGCCCTGAGAACTTGATGTTAATCAAACTCCTGGCAGCATTATGATATGTGTATCAGCAGTTCAAGGGCTATGTTGGGATAAAATAGGATAAAAGATGATTTTTATGAAGAATTCACACAAAGTCTTCCTCTCTCACATGGTACATTTGCTCATGAGTTCAGTTCACTGTTCTCATCAAGTACACGTCTGGCATGTATTCTCAAATGAAGGAGAGATGAGGGGGTAAAACCTGGCATTCCCTTTTTCGTTGTCCAGAAGAGGACTGATAGAGTTGATGTTCCTCTCCTCTACCTGTCTCCCCAACACACACACATAAAACAGAAGGAACGATTCCTTCCTTTCAATAACACCCCATTTCCCAACCATCTGGCACACACCTGTACCTAAAAAGAAAAAAAATGTTTTCACGAAGAGTACTATAGGCAGTACTCGGTCTCCTGGGGTCAAGTCCCAGACCCAGAAACCAAAAATCTTCCTGTGCTGAGAAAATTCACCCTTTGGAAAATGGATGAGGGGTTATTGATCAAGCAGAGTCGTGGGGGAGAGAGAAGTCTTGGGTTATTTCCAGTCCTAGCTACCCACCCACCAAACAAACAACTTGAAATAAGCCATTGTAACCTTTTGTTTCCAGTTTCTCCAGCTGTCAAAATAGAGGCAATGACAATTGCTTTACCTTACTGTCCCGCAAATCAAACTACATAATAAATAGGAAAGGAGATTCCAGACTGCTACTAGTTGTAGCAACAGAATGGGACAATAAATTCACAGTGAGGACCAGAGGAAATGTTTGAAATTGTTTCTTCCTCCTTTTCAACTACCGGCAAGCAGGCCCTGCCATAGGGTCTAAAGGAAACAGAGTATCAACACTAATGCACCCCTCACCTTCCCTTACTTACCACTATCCAATCCCATTCCTTCTTAGGGAAATATAAGCAGCCTGCAACACTGTAATTAGCTAACCCTATTGTATAAGAAGTACCTGCCAGGATTCTCACAGGTCAGTCTCTGAGAACCTTGGCAACCGCCACATTTGCTACCAGATGAGATGAAGCTAGTTTCTTAAAGGAAAAGTATGTGCCGATCCCAAACACGCTCAATCGGCTCTCTCTCCCGTTCCCTGCTCTCTACCCACCAACTAACTGTTGTGCCTCCTTGGGCTGGGGTGGGCTTCCCAGTGTATAAAGCGAGTGGATGGATCGTGCGTGCGAGAGAGCGGGGCTGCTAATCATTCAGGGGCAAGGATGTCAGGAATGTAAGAGTCCTCCACGGTGGGGTGGGAGGGGAGAGGAGCGGCGAAGGAATAAAAGAGAAAGACAAGGCTGCCAAAGACAAGGCACGGGAAAGAAGCCAAGCTATGGCGCTTGGAGGGCGGAGGTTTGGGCTCCGCGGCTCCTGCCAAGGCTAGCCCCCGGGACGTTCCCTTCCTCGTCCCCAGGCCCGTCAATCACTGCCATTTAAACTCCACGTTGTCCCCCTAGCCCGAGCCAAGGCCACTCCCGCACTTCCCAAGGCTTCCGTGCTCCAGAGCCCCCAGCTCCCCGGCCGACTCCTCCCCGCAGAGCTCCCTTCCTCCATTTTCCTCCTCCCCTCCACCCTTCCCTTCCTCTCGACCCCCAGCACCTCCGACCCCGGCGCCAGTCCACGGGGACCTCGCCCCCTCCGCTCGCTCGCTCGCTCCGCTCCCACACCCCGGGTGAGAAGCTCGCTCAGGCGCGTTACGCACCGCCCTGGACGCGGTCTGGGTTCTCCGGACGCGGGGCCCCGGCTGCAGCTGAGGCCGCGGCGGCCGCGCGGCGGGCTGGGAGCCGGGTGTCCGCCTTTCCCCGTAGGGGAAGGGGAAGGGAAGGATGGGGAAGAAGGTTCCGACCACTCCTGCTCGGCTCGGACTGACCCCCTTTTGCCACGCCCACTGCTGCTACGCGACGGGGCGGAAGTCCGTCACCAAGCCCCGCCCCTTTGTTTAACTCGGCGGCGGCCGGACCTCCGCTCCGGGCCGGAAGTTGTTAGGAGCGGACCCCCGGCGGGACTTAGCCCTGTGGGAGGGGGGACTCGGTGCTGCCCCCGGTGTATGGATGTGGGGCGAGCGTGCGTGCCCTGCGCCGCCCCGCCCCGCCCTGCAAAGCCACCTCGTGTGCGCTGCAGCTGATGCAACGCTGGGGCGCGACGGCCTCGGGGCAACGGGGTCTGCAGCAGCGTGACCTGCTGCTGTGCTCCCTGCCCAGAGCTGTGGGCAGCGTCCCGGAGCCTCGCGACGCACAGTCACGCGAAGGGACACAGCAGTTGGAAGGCTGCGGGGTGGCGAGGGAGGTAGGGAGGACGCAGAGCTTTGATCCACGGTGTTGTGAGGGTCGCCCGCCTCCCAGCCACACAGCAGCACACCCCTGCAGTCTCCACCGAGGCTGCCACGCCGCGATTGGGGGGACGCGAGGGGAGGGAAGTCATGGTGGACCCTTAAAGCGAGACGAGAAAGGAAGTTACAGGACCTCATGGGCTAACCTGGTGCCAAACAGTATTTTGTCATTCTATCTCTTTAAAAAGGAAATTCACTTTAGTACGCATGTAACTGGTTTGTTTATAAGGAATACGGAGCTAGTTGCCTTTGAGGACACTCCGGCGAGTACCAGAGGAAACTACAGGTTCTGGGTGTTTTCAGGTTAGAGCAGACTTTAAGATCTACTGAGAAAAGGAAATAGGAACCGGACGTGCCTTGTGTGAATCAAATGAGACTTGTTTTCTATGTCCCGGGTTCCATTTCTTCCAGAGGAGGCTGAGCCTGCCTAATGTCTTTCTGTAGCATAAATGCCACTTGGCCCAGATGGGTCGAACTGCTCAGTGTATTAAGGATGAAGGTCCGTGCGTGTAAGTTAATGCCATGTCCTAGGTATCGCTTTTTACCTAACTTTCCATTTTTTTTCATGTGTAAAACGGAATTTATATGTTTAAGAACGGCCGGGAAAAGAGGCGAAGACACGGGCTGGGATTCAGACGTGCCCGCTGCGTTCCAAAGCCCTTGGACCTTTTTCCATTGTGCCACTACTTAGGAAAAATAAAGTAAACCCCACAACCTTGCGAGCCTGAATCGCATTCTCTGAGCCGGAGGGAAGGTTGGTAGCTGAGGCGCCCCCTGGTGGTCGGTCATCTCTCCCGCGGAACTCGTCTTCGCCGAGGCTCCTTTAAATTCCTGAGACCGCCCCGTTCGCGGCGCGTGAAAAACGGCACCTGATTGGGCGGGCGGTGACTGGAGGCGGGGCTTCTCCAGGGCAGCTCTGTCCCTATTGGCTGGAGAAGGTCAGGGGACACTTCCGGGAATGTGTGCGCTCCCGCGTTCCACTCCGCAGCATCCGGCGGCAGCCAGCCCCCTGGCTCCCCCTGCGGGTGGCTTGGCGGTGTGCACAGTCCCGCCTGCTGGCTGGGTGGGTGGTGGGCTGTGGGTGGGGGAGGGGACGGGGCGAGTTCTGGGAGTGGGGATGAGGGTGCAGGAAGGCCCGCCAGCAGGATCCTCTTCCCTGGCGCTGCTCCGGGTCCCCTACGAGTCCCCTTTAGCCTCCCTGCCCCGGCGCGTGAGACTGAGAGCATCCTGACCGAGGGGCCTTGCAGCCCCTAAGCATCTTACCCAGAGATCTCTAAGTTCTGATCGTGAAGTACGAGGCCCCCAGGGAAGTTCGTTTCTAACCTCCTAGAAGGGTTAGAGAGGGGCCAAGGCTGCCGGATCCCCCGCCTGGTGTGCTGGGTAGGCCAAGCGGGAGCATGGGGGCAGAGGCTCCAAAGCTTGAGCCTTCATCTCCCGTTTCCACTTCCAGCGGGGTGCCACGGTTCGGGAAGCATGACGACCGAGACCTTCGTGAAGGATATCAAGCCCGGGCTCAAGAATCTGAACCTCATCTTCATTGTACTGGAGACAGGTGGCTATGCATGCGCAGTGGACTCGTGGGTGCAAAGGGGGAGGAGCATGGAGAGTGGGGGCACACGGGACCACCGCCTGCGTTCTTAACTTGCTGCCTGGACTGGGAGGAGGCTCCCCAAGGCCCTCCAATCCCTCTCAGACAGGCTGGCCGGTGGGTAGAGTGGATGGAACTCTAGATCGCCTAATGCCTCACTGGCCACGCGAGCCTTTTTCCACTCAGGGCTCTCTCCATGGTGCTGGACCCTCCATTACCCACCCCACCCCCGGCGCGCACACACCCACGCATAACCTCCTGCGCCCAAGGAGGGATATGAGCTTTGTTCAGCTTCTACCATTTAGCCTCACTCAGCCAATACCCAGCCTTTCACCACCCACCCCGCTTGTATGACTTTAACTCCATCTCTGTGTATTTATTTCTTCCCTTGAAGGCCGAGTGACTAAGACAAAGGACGGGCACGAGGTTCGGACCTGTAAAGTAGCAGACAAAACAGGCAGCATCAATATCTCAGTGTGGGACGATGTGGGCAACCTGATCCAGCCTGGGGACATCATCCGACTCACCAAAGGGTAATAAGTCAGGGCTCCTAGCAGCAGCCGCCGAAGGGTGTGGTTACACGTCCCGACAGCTTTTCCTGAAGACTGAATCCTGCTTGCCCTCACTCCACCCCACAGGTACGCTTCAGTGTTCAAAGGTTGTCTGACACTATACACTGGCCGTGGGGGCGATCTGCAGAAGATTGGAGAGTAAGTTCTGTCTTGGGAATCTGGAAAATAAGCCCCACCCCCCCTCCCAACGGTGGGAAAGTTAGGGTATACCAGAAGGCAACACAAGCGAGCCTGTGCGTCCCACACCCCATGGCTGCATCTGTCTGTGGCCCAAAAGGTGGGTCCAACCAAGGCTCTGGCTTCTCTCTTTGCAGATTCTGCATGGTTTATTCTGAAGTTCCTAATTTCAGCGAGCCCAACCCCGAGTATAACACTCAACAGGCGCCCAACAAATCGGTGAGTCCCTGGGTCTGGGGCAAATGGGCAGAGGTGGTCAATGCAGCATGGTGTTGAGGAGGGTCTGAGTGTGTAATCTGTGCCCTCAGGTGCCAAGTGACAGCTGCCCTGCTGCCCCCCAAGCCACCGCAGGACCTCCTGCCGCCTCTCCAGGTAAAGTGGCCCCTTTAAATCTCTATCCTCCCCAGCCGGGAGAGCTGTCTTTCCCAAGTGTCTGTTCTCTACCCAGTTCTCCCTGTGCCTTCGTTTGTATACCTTCTGCAAGTCTCAGCAGAGGAAAGATGTGCGAGCCTAGGGTCCCCTTTCCTTATCACCAGCTCAAAAAACAAAAGGAGACTTCCTCCCTCGCGGTGGCGAATGACCGTTACAAGCAAACAGATGTAGCTTAGATGTAGCATATTTACAATATTCTTGTAAGTTCTTTGTAATAAGTCCATATGGACACACTCATATATGTAAATACATGCAGTCATAAATCACTGAGTAATGGGAATATATTCTGAGAATTGGGTATACACACACACACACACACCTCGACGGTGTAGTCTATTTCATCCCTAAGCTATGTAGCATAACCTGGTTTCCTTTTTAATTTCTTTCTTGTCTTTTTCCTTCCTTTTTCTTTCTTTTAATAGAGGGTCTCAGTATGTAGTGTAGGCTGGCCTCAAACTCACAGGGATTTCCCCCTGCTTAGACCTCAGTAGTTCTGGGATTAAAGGCATGTGCTACAATTTTAAAAATCATTATTTTCATTGTTTTCATGACCATAATCCCCGTACTGGGGAGAAGCTAAGGCAGAAGAATTGTCACAGTCCCTCTCTAGTCTAGGGCTACAGTGAGACCTGTCCCAAACAAACGAGAACATCGCCACATTTTTATTTCCCTTTTCAAGTAGAAGAACTATACTCAGACTAAGAGGTGTAGTGCCACACATCCCAGCACTGGGGAGGCAGAGGCGGGTGGGTCCCTCGGATCGAGGTCAGCCTGCTCTACAGAGGGAGTCATCTGGCTCTTTCCCGTTGCTGAGACCAATAGTCACGCGTCCTCAGTCACAGAGACAAAGAATTAGTGTTTCATGCTTGCGCTTAGCTCTGTTTAGATTCTCAGAATGGGCCACCCAAAGCCCAGCAGAGCAATGCAACCTTTAATTCCATCTCTTGGGAGTCACTGACAGGAAGATCTCTGAGAGTTCGAGGCCAGCCTGGTCTACAGAGTGAGTTCCAGGACAGACAGGACAGAGAAACCCTGTCTTTAAAAAAAAAAAAAAAAAAAGTTGAAGGAGAAAATAAAATAGAATATTAGTTTTGCAGGACTCTTTTTGTTTTTTGTTTGTTTGTTTGTTTGTTTGTTTTAGACAGTTTCAACTAAATAAGGCTGGCCTCAAACTTCCTATGTAGCCAAACCTGATCTGGAATCTCTGCTTTTCCTACCTCCACCTTTCAAGTGCTGGACTGATGGTGTGCTACCATCATGTCTAGCCATAAAAATATTTCTAATAAGGTACGGCCATGAGCCAGGCATGGTTGCTGTCTAGAATGTGAGCAGCAGAGGCAAGGATTGTCACTACAAGCTCCGGGGGCAGTGTGAGCTCCCCAGAACGAGTTCCAGGGCAGCCTGGTCTCGATAGTGAGACCCCCACCTTAAAAAAAACAAACCAAAGAAAAGGTACAGCTAAGACCAAATGCTCCTAAAATCCATTTGCCAAGCATTTATTCACTTTGTCGTCTGCTACTAGAAATGAGAGGTGTCTTTCTTGTCTGATTTTTGTTTGTTTGCTTTGTGGACTCATGTAGCCCAGGCTGACCTCCATCTGTTGGATGAGACTCAGAACTCCTAGTCTGCCTGCCTCAGCTCTTCGGGTGTGTGCCACCACGCCCCAGGGCTGGATGAGCATTTTCCTTCTGTTGTCATAAGCTATCCCGACAGTAAGCAGTGAAGGCTGGCAGGGTTTATCAAGTGCAGGGTCCCAGGTTACATGTAGTCCGTCACTGCAGCGAACAGAGCTAGCGACAGCTGGTCACATTATGTGCGTGCGTGGTGAGACGCTTGCTTGATTGGACTCAGCTCAGCTTCTCAATTTTAGAAGGGTTCCACCCACAGTGGGCTGGGTCTCCCTACATAATTAAACCACAACCTTCCATAGACACGCCCACAGGCCAGCCAACACCTTGCCTCTTTCCCAGGCGAGGCAAGCACTCGAGTATGATCTACACCCCCAGCCCCGTTACAAAAGTTTAATTTAAAAATACATTTTAATGTGTGTGTCTTGCTTATACGCACGTCTGTGCACCATGTGCTTCCCTGGAACCCACAAAGGCCAGAAGAGGGCAATGGATCCATGAAACTGGCATTACAGATGGTTGAGCCACGTGGGTGTTGGGAACTGAACCTGAATCTTCTGCAAGAGCAGCCAGTGCTCCTCACTGCTGAACCATCTCCCTGACCTCCTAAAGTTTGTTGTTTTTAATGTACAGCATAAAATCTTAACATTGTTCTGTATCTGTGAACCTTTCAGTTTGGGCCACAGATATCGTAGTCCAGTAGAAAAGAGAGTTGAGTAGGGACATGGTTTAAGAACCAGAATTGGCCAGGTGTTGGAGATGCATGTCTTTAATCCCAGTACTCAGGAGACAGAGGCAGGTGGATCTCTATGAGTTCAAAGCCAGCCTGGTCTACCGAGCGAGCACCAGGGCAGCCAGCCAGGGCTACACAGAGAAACTCTGTCCCTGGTTCAAAAAAAAGCAAAACCAAGAAACAGGAATCTATAGTTTCTATGTCATTTAGGGTTCATAGAGGCAGTCTCTGCTTCATTTACCTACTAGATGTCAAGGAGTTAAATAAAGCACACTGTCTGCCTTTTGGGGCTTGTACCTCTGTGGGAGTAACGATTACAATATTCTGCGATAGGGGTAGGGACTGTGGTAGTTTAGAGTTACAGCCTCTCACATTCGTGGCTCCGTAAAATGTGTGGGTGTGGGGATCAGCAGGGCAGTTCAGGAGGCGCTGGTCTGCGACATTAAGTCTGACAACCAGAGTTCAGCCTCCAGAGCATCCACATGGGAGGAGAAGACAAACAACTCCCAAAGGTAGCACACACACACACACACACACACACACACACACACACACACACACACACACACACACGAGTGCCTGTGGTGAGTAGCTTGGCGGTAGAGGGATTCGGTCGGTTCTCAGACTCACCCTGTATTGTATCACCCTGCTGGTTGTCTAACCCTAGACCTCCCACATGATAGACCCAGCCCCACCTTTTCATTCGAACAGAAAATTCCGTCCCTTCTTCCCATGCTTCTCCAGCTTTACAGTCAGCCTTGGGCCTTAGGACATTCTTCCAGAAGACCTTTGAGTTGTGAACCAAACAGCTCATTCTAGGTGTGATCTCCAATGACGCGGAGACACATAAGAGAAGTATATCACGTCAGGCTCATGGGGCAGCCTCCAAAATTATCAAGGGGTCCCACTCGTACTTGTAGCGCTTTTTGCATCCTATTCAGGACTATCTGCCTAGGGGATGCTGCCACCCAAACTGGGCTGGCTCTTCCCACAAAATTAAGTCAATTACAATCCCCCGTATACACGCCCGTAGACTCTTAACCCGAGACGCTAGGTTGTGTCAAGTTGACAGTTAAATTGTCAAGGCTCCTCTGCCAGGATGGTCATGAACTTACCTGCAGAACTGTGAGCCCCAGAACACTTTTATTTTTATATATATAAACAATAAGTAAATAAATAATTATCAAGGCTAGGGCACAGCTCCCTGTCCGCATCCATGCCATTGTGCATGGTGACGACTCACCCACTCACAGGGCCTTCAGGGTGGACCCTCACCTTAACTAACTCTGTGTTTCTTTTCCTACAACCAGCTTCCGAGAGCCAAAACGGGACCGGACCAAGCCCCCAATCGGGCCCCAGTGGTGGCCCCCACCCCTCTCACCCTGCCTCACATGCCCCCAGCACCCGAGTCACTCGGAGCCAACCGAACCACACACCTTCTGGGCCCCCTGGCCCCTCCAGCAACCCTGTCAGCAACGGCAAAGAAACCCGCAGGAGCAAGAGATAGCAGGAGAGCAGACCTCTCCCTCCCAGCACAGCCACGCCCCAGGTCCCTGCCAGACAACACTGTCTCCTGCTGGGCTTCTGACCTTGAGATTGGAGGGTGGTATAGCTCGCCTTTTAGCCACTAAGTTTCCCCGGAGGGGTGGTAAGCAGTGGCCTTACCCACCTCAAGCTCCTGCCCTCCTTGTCCTGCTGACATGGCCTGTCCCCTGGGATCCAGGGCCCTTTGCCTGCCCTCCTCCCTCTGGAAAAGACAGTCTGGTGTGTGTGTGTGTGTGTGTGTGTGTGTGTGTGTGTGTGTGATACGAGGGTCTAACTGAAACCCCTCCTTCCTAATAAATGTGCCCACTCTCTTCTGGACTCCTTTGTTTTTCGTAGCAATGGAGGTTAGCAGGTGTGTACTTAGGGAGTGTAGTGCCTAGGCGCGGAGGCCTTGAGCAATGCAAGCCTGCCCCTTTAAGGTAGTGCCCCTCCCCTGCTGTCGTGTGTCCCCCTCCCCCCCCCAGGTGACCCTTGTCCAGCCTTGCCTGCCACAAGAAGGCTGGGTGCCCCTTCCTTTGGGTGTCCTTCTGTCTCCGGCCCTGCTGTCAGGTAACGCCAACCCCAAACCCCTGGACCAGTCACCCTGATCAGACTTTGATCCCTGACCTTAAGCCAGGCCAGGTGTCAGAGGGGAACCCTGTTCCGGCTCCTTTTCCTCAACTGGGCTTCCCCGCTGTTGTTCATTGATTCCAGAGCCGGGCATGCTGACAGTGACTGCTTGCTGGAGTGGGTCATTGCCCTCTTCTGCATCCCAGGGTGGGGGACTGCTAAGGACAGTTTCTTCCCTGAATGTGTCTGGGATTGTTGCTACTTATCTGCCTCTTCCCCTCCAGTTTAGGGAGTGTGGGGATGGGGTGGGAAACAGATGAAGCTCAGTCCCCGATGTAAGGTACCTGGGGAGGGGAGGGGATATTCAGAAGGTTCTGTCGATACTGAATGGGTTATACAATATTTAAGAGGAAAAAGTTGAGCACAGGTTCTTAACCATGTGGCTTCCCTGGGGCAGAGGGTGGCCCCTCCCCAGTCAGGTCCTAACAGAGACTGACTTTTGACCCCCCCATCCCAGAGACCAGTGAACCATTAACTCCTATATGAACCTTCCCACACTTGCTCCACCCCTGACTCCGCCCCAGAGCAGCTGGGAAGGGGGAACCTATCCATTTCAGTCCTGTATGGGAAGTCGATTCCATTGCATTGAAGGCTGGACTCCTGACTCAGGAATCTCTTAAGGGCCACAGTGAAGCCTTCCAGGGACCTTCGGTGACAGCTCTCACATTGCCAGTAGGGGTGAGGCCCTGCACATTGGGAGGGAATAAAGAGCTGGAGCAAAGTGAGAGGGGGGGTCTAAGGGATGTTAGTTGACTCCGGACCAGATGTCAGGAGAACTCTGGGTCAGGAAGCTGCTGCAGAGGCAGAGGGGAGGGACAGAGGAAGCCTGAGCCAGTCTCAGATCAAGCTACTTCAAGCGCATATGAACATTGTCCCCAGCCCAGAGCTGAAGGGCAGAGCCCTTGACCTGACCCTGATACCCCCACTCCTCCTCGTTCTAGGACACGAGCCTCAGGATGTTCCAAGGGAAATAGAAGTCAGAATCAGAGGCTCTACCCCACACCCCAGTGATGGGCCCCCCAGTGCACTGTCTGTTGGCTGGCCTGTGCATGGGGGTGGTCTTAGGCTGGGTAGGAGGCTCAGTCCCCAGCCTGGGCCCAGCTGAACAGGAGCAGAACCACTACCTGGCCCAGCTGTTTGGCCTGTATGGAGAGAACGGGACACTGACTGCAGGAGGGCTGGCCCGGCTTCTCCACAGCTTAGGGCTGGGCCGAGTTCAGGGCCTTCGCCTGGGACACCATGAGTCTCCAACGGGGCGGGCTGCAGCCCCCAGTGACCACAATTTCACAGACAGGTATTCATCTCCGACCCCCAAAAGTCACACGCCCCCACTCAATGCGGCCACGCTGGCTTCCTGAAATGAGGCCCTGGGATGAGAAGTCCTCTCTCCGCGGCCTTTTCCCGCTCCAGATCCCTGGGTCCTCAAAGCCCTTCATTCCCACGTTTCCAGGCTGACTTGGCTCTGGCTCTCCATGTGGAGGCCTTCCGGCTGCCCCCACCCAGACTCACAGCTACCCACCCTAGGCTCTCCAAACAGCTCTCAGACACTCCTGGGACTGATGGACGGAGGCTGTCCTCCTCCACGAGACTCGGGCCAGGTGACTGGGAACTTGAGTGTGACTCTAATCCTTCTGACCTAGGCTCCAGGAACCGGAGCTGAGTGTGAATGTCTGGGCAGGAATGCCTCTGGGTCCTTCAGGCTGGGGTGACTTGCAGGAGCCAGAGACCCATGACCTGCCCCATGAGCCGGGGCCCTCCGGTCTAGACCTCTTTCACAGGCTTCTGCTGCTGGACCATTCGTTGGCTGACCATCTGAATGAAGACGTAAGTCTGGTGGTCCTCGGCACTAGGTGGCCTGAAGTATTTGGAGTCTAACTGAATAGGGATGTTCTAATAGTGAAAGGTATATCCCTTGACTTTAGTGCAGGCTGACCAAATTTAGCAAACACACAGTCCAGAGAAGCATCTTAGGGTAGGATGGTTATGTGGAGAGTTGTCCTGGAGACGATGGCTATGTCTGTCTAGAAACAGTCATTTTTTTCCTTGTTTCACACCCACAGGAAGGCCCACAAAGCTGTCAGGCTCTGACATCAGTTGACATGCCCAATCAAAAGGAGCATTCCGGCCTAGGCTGGATCAAACATGACAGTCGAGTGTTGACAAAAGACAGACAGCATGTCAGGCTCCTTTCCCTTCTAGAACTCTGGTACAGAGGGTTCTAGTCTAGCTGCCAAAACAGCTCCATTACTACAACAAAGAAATGACCAGGGCATGAGATAGAAATGACAGCAATACTCACTAGAAAACTGAGAAATGTATGCTGAATACTTACTTTGGACTGAATGCTCACCGGTGATTAACACACATTAAGTCCCCTTATCCCCAGCTCTAATGCACATGCCAGGGTGAGCCAAGGGGACCCTGAGAGAGTCGAGATCTAGGCTGTAGTTCCCTGTGACTCCCTAATACACCATCCTCTCCTCAATCAGTGTCTGAATGGCTCCCAGCTGCTGGTCAATTTTGGCCTGAACCCTGTTGCTCCTCTGACCCCTCGTCAATTTGCTCTGCTATGTCCAGCCCTGCTGTATCAGATTGACAGCCGTGTTTGCATCAAAACCCCAGCTCCAGCACCTCCAGGAGACATACTGCCTGGTCAGTGAATGAGAAGGGTGGGCAGCACCCTGCATCCTGGCAGCAAGGGGCTCCCTGCTAAGGAAGGGGGGGGGGCTCCACTCAGCAGAGTGCCTCTGGGCCTAACTAACATTAGCCCCAATTTCTCCTTCCCAGCCCTGCTTCATAGTGCCCTGGCAGTCCTGTTGCTCAGCCTCCCTGCTCCCCTCTCCCTGCTGCTGCTGAGGTTCCTGGGACGCGGTCTGTTGCGGCCGGTGCTAGGATTCCTGGGGGCCCTGGCCGTGGGCACCCTTTGTGGGGATGCATTGTTACACCTGTTACCACATGTACGTGAGACAGCACCTTCATACCCTGACCCAGTGGCGGCTAGCCTCCATGGATCCATGTGTTCCTAGCCACAGGACCCCTCGGCCCTTTCCATCAGTGCCCACATCCTAACCCCTCACCCCTGGCCTCAGCCACGGCTACCTTCCACTGGGTGTGTGACTTCAAGTTTGCTATCCTTTCACTGGGAGAAGGGGATGCTACTGGGTATAGGGGTTTCCAGGGTGTGCTCTGATCTACTTCCTGACAGGCACGAGGGGGGCGACACACAGGACCTAGTGAGCAACCAGAAGAGGACCTGGGTCCGGGACTCTCAGCGCTTGGCGGCCTCTTCCTGCTCTTCGTGCTAGAGAACACGCTAGGACTTGTGCGGCACAGAAGGCTCAGGCCAGTGAGTGGCACCCTTTTCTTCTGCCAAACCCAGAGTCCCAGCCAGGCAAGGAGGCAAGGGGCGCTGTGTGTTTCTGGACCTTGGCAGCTTGGCCGATTGTCCAGGACTTGTGCACTACTGAATGAGCACGGACCTCTTAGCATAGACACAGGACTTCTGGCCAAACGGCTTCTTTTCTGCAGTTCATATCAGCATTAAACAGAGGGGAAAATGCCAACCTTGGAAAGGGCGGAGGTCAAAAAACATTCTCCAGGTGCTAGAAGTGGGTGCAGGTGTTCATTTTCCCAGCTGCTGGCCTGGCCTCCCCTTAGCCCCCGGCCCTGCTGCCTCCTCCACCAGGAGGGATGCCCTCCCATTTCAGAGATGCTGCAGGAACCAAAGGGCTCCTGAAGAACCAAACCCTGACCCAGAGGACGGCAGTGGGATGGTCCTTCGACCCCTACAGGCAACTTCAGGTGAGTAGGAAAGGAGTACCCTGCGAAAGAGCCTGTAGTTCCCTCTTTCAGTTACCGACCCTTCTACTGTCCTTCTTACCAGAGCCAGAGGTTCAGGGCCAGAGGGAGGACAGCCAGCCCCCACCGGCTCCAGCCGCTCCTCGGCACCAAGGTCACAGCCACCAGCACCAGGGTGGCAGCAGTACCAGTATCGCCTGGATGGTTCTCCTGGGAGACAGCCTGCACAACTTCACTGATGGGCTGGCCCTAGGTTTGAGCCTACCCAGGGGAGCAGAGGAGGGGGCAGGGCTCTGAGCCAGTAGGGACAGGAGAAGCTGCCAGGGAGGTGGGGGAGGCAAGGGAAAGCCCGCGCGAGCGTGCAGAGAGCAACTCCTGACTTTCTTCATTGATTCCAGGTGCCGCCTTCTCTGACGGCTTCTCCAGCGGCCTCAGCACCACCCTGGCTGTCTTCTGCCACGAGCTGCCCCACGAACTGGGTAGGAATGGCAAACACGGGGTAGGTGGGCTCCAGAAAGGAGACCTCTGAGGGCAAAGCGAGGGGCGGCTCTGACTCACCCTCTGTCCTTTGTCCCCCCAACAGGTGACTTCGCAATGCTGCTTCAGGCAGGGCTGTCCTTCCGGAGGCTGCTGCTGCTAAGCCTGGTTTCTGGAGCCCTGGGACTGGGCGGCGCAGCCCTCGGGGTGGTGCTCAGCTTGGGCCCCGCTCCCCTCACTCCCTGGGTGTTTGGGGTCACGGCTGGGGTCTTCCTCTATGTGGCCCTTGTGGATATGGTAAGGAGCGTGGGAATGGCCGGGGGGGTGGTGTTGAGGAGAGGGAAGTGCCAGTCCGTCCAGCTCCACCTCTAGGTCTGGAGAGTACTGACCCATGGCCCCACCAGAAAAAAGTATCCAAAGGCAGGGGGCAGAGGATGGGGCAGGCTGGGAGGCGTACACCTTCAACGCCATCACTCAGGAGGCAGCGGAGTTCGAGGTCAACCTGGTCCACACAGTGTTGCAGGCCAGCAGGGCTAGACAGTGAGCTCTTGGCTCAGAAGTAGACAAGCGAGTGGTAGGTAAGAGCAGCGTCCTGACAGCTTCCTTTCCTTCCAGCTAGCAGTCCTGCTCCGCCCTCCTGAGCCCCTGCCTGTGTTCCATGTGCTCCTGCAGGGGCTGGGGCTGCTGCTGGGGGGCAGCCTCATGCTTACGATAGCCCTGCTCGAGGAGCAGCTACTGCCCGTGGTTCCTGATGGCTGACGGGGGCCAGTGGCAAAGGATCCAGGCTGCCCTTCCTCCCCCCAACCAGAGGAACGGAGGCGGGACACCGGGCCAGTAGGAGCAACAGGACTTTAATAAACAGAACCCGTCCCAAAGCCATGACTACGACAGTTATACTCGCACCAAAACAGCATAGAAAACCAGGGTGTGGTGGGAGGGACTCGAAGCAGGTGGGGGGGACAAGCGTGGGGGCCAGGAGGACGTGGGGTGCATCAGTCTTCGGGGGTAGATAGCATTGTGCTTTAGCCCAGGTAAGAGGGGGAGGGGCAGGGCAAATGCACCAAGGTCCCCCCTTTTTTCTGCTGCCCTCAGCACCCTGGGGATGCAGGTACCTGGGCTTTATTGCTGCCCGCCAGCATTAAACACCCCTGACCCCCAACACTAGCACCACAGGTGGATCGAGGGTAGGGAGCAGGGCCACAGTGGGAAAATTGCTTAGAGAAAGATTCAACTAGAATCCAGTGAGTTGTGCTCAGTTCGCTTTACTTCCTACAACCGAGTACATGGGTCACAGGGTGGAGGGTGCAAGAGGACATGGGGCGTGCCCCTCCGTGCCCCCCAACACACCTGCACACAGGATGGTGGTGTCTGCAGCATCACAGGTCATGCAGGGCATGGGGAAGGGGGGCTCACACACATAGATGCCCACAGTGGGTACCAGACAGAGAACACCCCTGAATATACACAGCTGTACATGGGAACCCCAGGTCCCCACCCAACCCTCTCCCCTGTCTTGCTGTTCCCCAGCAGGAGAACTGTATTGCTTTGAGAGAGCCACCCTGGGGCTGCTCTGCCAGGCACCCGCCCCTCCCACCACCCCGATTTTGGCACATCTGCAAGACACACGGCAGCGAGAGTAGGCACCCTCCCTCCCAGGCTTCTGCGGCTTGGAGTTGGGGAAGGGGGTAGGAGATCCCATCTTCCATCATTCCCCTAACCCTTCCCAAACTCCTGCCAGACCCACTCCAGCCAAACCCACCCACCCCCGAAACACACCCACACGCACACCCACACGCGCCCACACACCCACACACACAAAGCTGAGCTATCCAGGAATACGAGTGAACAAGATTGTCCAGGGTAGGAGCAGAGGCGGTAGGAAGGGCTGGAAGCAGAGACCCCACCCTGGCATGGGTTAAGACTGGCACAACAGCTACTTTAGTGCAACTGGAGGGGCGCCCAGAGTGAGGGTGGGGACAGGAGGGCCCAGGGAGAGGAGCGAGCGAGGGCCAAGGGCGGGTCCTCGTCACCCGCCATCCTCTGCCCTCCCAAATGCAGTGACAGTGCCCCCCTCACACCTACGTGGGCAACAGCAGCCTCGGAGTCAGTACCTTCAAGTAATTCAAAGAGCAGACCCTCCCCACCCCAACTCCCTCCCATCTCTGGGAATTTGGTCGCTTCTCTACAGGGGTTGGGCTGGGAGGAGGGGTCCCCAAGTCAGACCCTTCTCTTCCTCCCTCTTCCCCGACCACCGGGCTTGGTCCTCAAAGCGTCCGCACCTCTATCCTCGCCCAAGCTGGGTGAAGGCTGGAGGGCTGGAGCCACACCGAAGGGAAGAGGCTGCTTTGCTCCCGCCCCTCCCCCCACAGTAGGGTTCAGACTTGGCAGGAGGGGTGGCCACTGGCCTGTCCCAGGGGCAGGGCTTCTGGGCTAGGGTCTGTAAGGCTATTTTCCTTTGCGGTGGGAGGGGGCAGGGGATGAGCACTGGGTGTGGGAGAGGGAGAATCGGCTGGGTGGGCAGGAGGAAGGGGCCCCCGCTGGAGTATCGTTACTGGAGTCATTTCCCGGGGAAACACTCCTGTGCGCATGGTACACAGTGCGCGCACGCCTGGCCCCCTGCCTCTCGGGACCCCTTCCAAGACCACAGAGAGGGCTTTGGGGTACAGTTGTAGAACCATTCACTCAGGCCCCACCGTCCTCACCTCCAGCCTCTTCTCCCCTCTCATCCAGGGAGGAGGAAGGTGCTTGGGTGGGCAGACAGCGGTGGAAACGGTATTGAGTTTTCCTTTGGTTACATATTGAAGGCAAAGGTGAGCTGGACTTACAGTCGAAACGGATAGGGGTGAGGGAGGAAGAGGGGGCATGGCTGGGGTTAGAGAGGGAGGCGGCCCTCCTCAGCCCCGCCACCCCACGGGACACGTGTCTACACGGGGCGGCAGTCCCTCAGGCTCATGTCTCCACCCCCCACAGCACCAAACAAAAGGAGAAGCCCCCTCCCCCAGGGGCTGCTCCCCACCCCAACCTGGGCTGTACATTCAGTGGTTTCCAGCAGTCCTATGGCTCGGGGGCCACGGGGTGGGGGAGGTGGCCCGCCCGCCTGAGAGTCTCAGTCGGGCAGTGGCAGTGACCTGGTCTGTGGGTCCATCCTGGGACTCGCAGTCCTGTGCCAATTGTTTTTCTGAAGGATGGTACACACCCCTACAGTAATAGCCACCGCCCGATCGGAAACGAAAACTGGCTCTTCTCACTCGTCCTGCGATTCCCGGGTCTGTCTCCCTGTCTCCTACGTAGCCCTCGCCCTGTCTCCTCTGCTGGGACCCAGGGCTGTCCCCAGGGCCCTCACTTGAAATAGGCCTTTTCACAAAAGTGCTTATTACTTGAAGCAAGTGCTTTAGAGCTGCGGTGGGGAGAGGGGAGGGGAGAGGAGGAGGGGAGGGCAGGAGATGTCCCCTCCCCCCAACCCCCTTAAGATTGGGGGGCATTCTGCCTGTTTTACTTCTCCACACCCGTTTAAGTCAAAGAGGTTAAAAAACAAAATCTTAACATTAAAATAAATATGCAGTGGCCATGAGAACGCGGTCAAATGCTTCAAAAACACTAGGGGCTGGGGCCCAGGGTGGGTGCGGGATTTCCTTTGGCATAAGGAGGGGGCTGCTCCCCTCCAGGCCTCCTCATAGCCACATGAGGAGGGACAGAGGGCTCCCTGTCACCGTGGTTCCCAGCACTGCGGACAGTGTGCCCAGGACAGCAGGGAACAAACAGCCACCAGAAATCTCATCTAGCGAAACACAACAATGGGGCCCTGGCAGACGCTGAGTCAGATTCCTCTGTCACGGTCAAGCATTGATAAAGGAGAACACGACTGATACCCCAAGTCATCCCTGGGGGACCATTTCCCTTCTCCCCACGCCCCCCACCACCTAATTCCCAGCACCAAGATGAGAGGGAGGATGAAAGGGGAAGATTTTAGGAGAGAGAATTGGTTAGGGGCAAGCTATGCAGAACCGGCAGGGTGGGGGTGGGGTGGGGTGGGGGCGGCAGCCCTTAAGAGAGGTCACATTGATTGTCGTATAGGGAAGGAGAGGGCATGAAGGGAGGTGGGCAAGAGGGGCATTGCAAGGCCCTTTGGCTTTGAAAACAAAAATAAAAACTAAAAGCTGCACAATCCTTCTCACCAAATAATGGTCACATGGGAGCCTTGAAATGGTCTAGGATCTGAGGGTCGGGACAGAAAGACAGAGACGGGACCAGGAAAGGAAAGTCAAACACCCCAGGCTTCTGGGAACCAGCATGAGGTATGGTGCAGGGTGTCTGTGGGGGGAAGGGCTCCCTGGGACAGCCCCTCTCCCCTCAGCCCACCCTTGGCAAGGGTGGCGAGACATTCAAGGGACACAGCTGAGGAACAGGTAATGTGAGTGGAGCAAGCTTGGGGAGGGGAAGGAGGTGGGGGTCCCTGGGAGAGACCCCTGTACTGTGTAAACGAAGCTCATCCAGTTCTCAGTTCTCAGGGGGCAATACTGATGGCAGCCAAACCGGGCAAGGGTGCACTGTGGGGTGGAGGGGGCGGGACCTCTATTCAAGTTCTGTGTCTTGGCCCCTGGCTGAGGTATTGCGTGTGAGGAAGGGACACTGGGTTATGGGACTGGGTCTGACTGTGCAGAGGCTCACCAAGGAGAGGGATGCACTGGACATCTGAAGGGACCAGGGCCAGATGCAATGCTACATTTAAAGAGAACACTGCCCCTCCCCACTCCAGCCCAGTTTGGCTTCTCAGGTACATTCCAGGAAATCTATCAGTGCAGCGCCCTACTCAACCCCACATCTCCCCGCGGCGACGGGAAGGCAGGGACTGAGCCTCAGTGTCGTCTGTCGCTCCCCGGACCAGTGCTCCCCATTCCCACTGGAGGAAGGTGTGGCTTCCCTAACAAGCGGTCCCTACAGCCCCTGCCATTCCCGCCCCTGCCATTCCTACCGTCTTTGGCTTCATATCAGGGGTGACTGGGGCAGTGGGGACTCTCGGACAAGACAGAAAGTAGAGACAGACGGGGACAGAGGGGCACAGGAAGAACACGTTCCCTACCTCCACTCACATGCAAACACATGCCTGAAACACAGAGGACATACTAGGGATATAGTTTTGAAATGAGCAGGATAATAATTTGTTTCTTCCTCTAAAGAATAAAATGCTTACTTAAAAATTCATGACAAGCCTCAGAGTTCAGGGAGACGAGAGCCGTGGAGGAAATGGCCACAGGCTCCCCTCCCAGAAAGGAAGTTAAAAGAAGCAAGGTTAAAGTGCGTGGTTGGGGGGTCAGGGGCAGGCCGTGGGGGCCAGGGACAGGCCTTGGGGGCCAGGGACAGGCCGTGGGGGCAGAGCAGCCCTTGGTTTGCACACGAGGGGCCAGGGGTAAGGGCCAGGTTCAGTAGTTGCTGCTTCAAGTGTCTGCATTTGAATTTTAGGGGTGACAGGATATGGGGGGAAAGCTCTAGGCCCCAGTGCTAAACACCCTCCCCCCTCATCCTCTAGCTGCCCCTGAAGGGGGAGGGGCCCCGAGTGCTCACACAGTACCAGAGATTAAGGCTTTCTCACTGCTGCAGGGATGGAGGGGCCAAGCGGGGAGGCAGTGATGGGCATGGAGGGAGAGGGGTCTGCCTGGCAGCGGGGGCAAAGGAGGGCATAGGAGGGTCGGAGGGAAGAGTTGGGGAGCTGGCAGCAAACGGGAACAGAGATGGAGTCAGAGGGGGAGCCAGGCATTTAGCAATCATTCTGGGACACTTGGCAGAAGGGGATGCCCTGGGGTACCAAGAGCCTGGGTGCTCCCTGTGGGCCCCAGGCCTCTGCCGGGCCAGGCCGTGCGGCAAAGGGGCGAGCAGCTGCTCCCTCCCCACCTCTGCCCACCCCCGGTCGTGTTCTCCTTTAAAGTGCCCTAAAGGGTTAGACTTTTCTCTAAATAAATAGAATAGGGTATCAAGCCACCGGCAGGGAGAGGAACCTGGAGGGGGCTACTCGGAGTAGCAGCCATCTAACCCAATGGCACCATGCCGCTCCTGGCTGTAGGGACAGGAGGCCCCATGCGGCAGGGCGCCACAGCCACCCACCGTCTTGGCGGCCGCGATGCTGCAGTTCTTGAGCAGGCTGAAGCTGAAAGGGCTGACGGCGTCCTTGGGTGGGAAAGGCTTCATGGTGGAAAGGATCAAGGCCAGGCAGTCTGCCACATCTTTGTTGGGAGCGCAGGCCAGTGCTGGGGTGTGACCTGTGGGCAAAGGGAGAGGACAGAGGCTCAGGGTCCCGCACCCCAAGGCCCCCACTCCTCCCGGGTCCTGAGCTCTCTGGACTGTGGAGGGGCATCTCAGTGCACAAACACCCATTGTAGCCAGAAATCCAGGTGGCAAGGGCCTAGGGAGTCCGAGTGCAGGGCAAAGGCAGCACATGGGAGGGGGGCAGACTGCAGTGTGGGGGAGGGCAGACTGCAGTGCGGGGAGGGGGAGGGCAGACTACAGTGTGGGGGAGGGCAGACTGCAGTGTGGGGGAGGGGGGAGGGCAGACTGCAGTGCGGGGAGGGGGGAGGGCAGACTGCAGTGTGGGGGGAGGGCAGACTGCAGTGCGGGGAGGGGGGAGGGCAGACTGCAGTGAGGGGGGAGGGGGAGGGCAGACTGCAGTGTGGGGGAGGGGGAGGGCAGACTGCAGTGTGGGGGGAGGGCAGACTGCAATGTGGGGGGAGGGGGAGGGCAGACTGCAGTGTGGGGAGGGGGGAGGGCAGACTGCAGTGTGGGGAGGGGGGAGGGCAGACTGCAGTGTGGGGGGAGGGGGAGGGCAGACTGCAGTGTGGGGAGGGCAGACTGCAGTGTGGGGAGGGCAGACTGCAGTGTGGGGTAGGGCAGACTGCAGTGTGGGGGGAGGGGGGAGGGCAGACTGCAGTGTGGGGGAGGGCAGACTACAGTGTGGGGGGAGGGGGGCAGACTGCAGTGTGGGGGGAGGGGGGAGGGCAGACTGCAGTGTGGGGTAGGGCAGGCTGCAGTGTGGGGGAGGGCAGACTACAGTGTGGGGGGAGGGGGGCAGACTGCAGTGTGGGGGAGGGGGGAGGGCAGACTGCAGTGTGGGGTAGGGCAGGCTGCAGTGTGGGGGAGGGCAGACTACAGTGTGGGGGGAGGGGGCAGACTGCAGTGTGGGGGAGGGGGGAGGGCAGACTGCAGTGTGGGGGGAGGGCAGCTGCAGTGTGGGGGGAGGGCAGCTGCAGTGTGGGGGAGGGCAGACTACAGTGTGGGGGGAGGGGGCAGACTGCAGTGTGGGGGAGGGGGGAGGGCAGACTGCAGTGTGGGGTAGGGCAGGCTGCAGTGTGGGGGAGGGCAGACTACAGTGTGGGGGGAGGGGGCAGACTGCAGTGTGGGGGAGGGGGGAGGGCAGACTGCAGTGTGGGGTAGGGCAGACTGCAGTGTGGGGGGAGGGCAGCTGCAGTGTGGGGGAGGGCAGGCTGCAGTGTGGCTCCATCACACACACTTGCCCTTGAGACCTAGCATACAGTCCTGGGTCCCTGCTCTCGAGAGGTCCCCTGGGAAGAAAATCTCATTTATAGCAAGGTTAAGAAGTCACCTCCTGAAGAATGTCCCTGACCCCAAACCTAGGAGAGGCGGGGGGCTCTGGACCCCACCCACCTTCTTCATCCACAGCCAGCACTGTGGCCCCACGGCTCAGCAGGGCCTGCACCACAGAAGCTAGGCCGTTCCGGGCAGCAATGTGGAGTGGCCTGAGAAGAAGGGAAGCGAAGAAGGGACACTGAGTAGGAAGCCAGGCTGCCCTGCCACCCCAAGATGGGTGCCAAGGACACTGAGCACATACTTTGGGCTCCAGATAGCCTCTAACATAGGTTTCTTTCTTCACCCCCTCCCCCCCAGCTGCAGCCCCCCTCCCCCTCCCCAGCGGCAGCCCCCCTCCCCCTCCCCAGCCCCCTCCCCCCTCCCCAGCCGCAGCCCCCCCCCCCAGCAACTCACATCTGCAGTGCACTGTTGGTGGCATTGATAAGGCCAAGGTCTTGGGTTTCTGCCAGGATCATGAGGGCACACTTCTCATGGCCCTGAGGGAGAGGGACAGACACTTGTAGATCAGAACCATAATGACAACAGGGCAGGCAGGGGCAGGGGCAGGGGAGAGAACCCCCGTTTGTGATCCAGGCCACCGGCTTCACGGAGCCTACTCTAGGGTACCTTGCTACAAGCCAAGTGCAGGGCAGTGTTCTTGTTCTCGTCCAGCACGGTGAGGTCAGCCTTCCCTCGATACAGCAGAAATTCTAGAAAGAACAGGACAGACAGATGACTTCCTGCAGAGCAGCAGCCACCCCCTCCCTCTCCCCCTCCCGTCTGCACTCTGCACGGACTGTTTCCCAGGCCTAGTGCACCATCTTGCGTTATGAACCCAGGCCCCGTACGCCCTGCAGGGTGGGCTGGCCCACCCATCGGCAGCCAGGGGCTCCCTGCCACGGCGGCCCCTACACACCCACAGCAGCAGTCTGCCCATTCTCGGCTGCCGTCATGAGTGCAGTGCGCCCAGTGTGGTCAGTGGCGTCCACTTCAGCTTGATGCTGCAACAGCATCCGGAGCCCAGACACATTGTCCGCGAAGGCAGCGGCGTGAAGGGGGGTCCTGGGGGAGGGGAGCAGAGGAGAGTAAAACGGGGAAGGCAGGCTCTCCTGCCGATCGAGGGCAAAGCCAGAGCACTGGTGTCACTCACCGTCCTTTGGCGTCTCGGCTGTTCACAATCTTGGCACCCAGAGCTCCCAGCAGCATCTCTGTGGTGCCGTCCTGGTTATTAATTCTGGAGTGGGGGAGGTGGGACCATCAGAAGCTGAAGCGAGAGGGGCTCCCTGCCCTCAGCCCAGGGTCTCACCCTCAGGGAAGGTGCTTACACTGCACAGTGCAAAGGAGTGAAGGGGTTTCCCTCCAAGTATGAGAACGGGCTGTGTTCAAGTAACAACTCCAGACAATCTTCATGTCCTGGCGTAAGGAAGAGAGTACGCTGAGAAACCGCAGCCATCTGTCCTGTCCTGTCCTGTCCTGTCCCTCCAATCTACTTCCAGCTCCCTTCCTACAACACACATCCCTGTGCCTGCCTGAGCCCCACTAGTACCAGTGTAGGAGGCCCAGTGCATGGGCGAGTATCCGCTGTAATCCACACCAGCATCTAGGGGGTCTGTGGAGAGGGCAGCCTGCAGCAGGGTCCGCAGCACTGCAGCATGGCCACAGGCTGAGGCCAGGTGAATAGGTGTGCGGCCCTTAAAGTCTCGGCACAGCACAAATGCATCATGGTCCAGCAGGGCAGCCAGGCAATCCTCACAGCCAGTCACTGCCTGCAGGGCACACAGAGGTCAAAGCGGTGACAAGCTGCGCTTTCCTGGGGCTAGTGCTGGGGGCTGGCCCAGGAGCAGGGACCATTTCCAGGGACCCCTCCTCATCTCTACAATAATCCCAGTGTCAGGAATCAGCAGCTACTCTCCTGACACACACAATGGCCAGAGCCAACCCTGAAGCTCTCGGAACACAAGACCAACCAGGGAATGAGGAGACGACCCACAGATCAAAGTAGTCTCAGCTACTCAAGAGGTCGAGGCTGGAGAGTCACTTAAGCCCAAGAGTGGAAGACCAGCCTGGGTGAATATACCGAGACCCCTCAAAATAAAGTTTCTGCTGGACACGGTGGCGCACACCTTTAGTCCCAGCACTTGGAAACCAAAGGCAGGCAGACCTCTGTGAGTTGAAGGCCATCCCGGCCTACACAGTCAGCTCAGAGCCTGCCAGGACTCCATAGTGAGATCCTGTCTATTAAGAAAAAGAAACAAACCCTGATAGGATAGTAGCAACAGGGTATATGGGTAGCCCGCAGTCTGGGTGGTATGAGCAAATGGCTGAGCATGATGAGAAAGATAATGTCACCAGGAGTGGGAGGCATTCAGCTCGGAGCAAGCAGGCCCAGTAAGACTCAGAAGCAAAATACTGAGGTTCCGATGCCCACTCGGGTGGGTCCTGGGCTCCTACCCGAGGCCTGCCTGCGAGCAACCGCATTTCCACTCACCCCACGGTGGAGGGCGGTGCGGCCACGGAGGTCAGCAGCATCGGCCGTGGATCCCTTCTCTAACAGCAGATGTACACAATCCACATGACCATTCATAATGGCCAGCATCAGTGGGGTCCTACAGAGCAGAGCGCAGGGGGAAGGTGAGGGCCATGGCTGCTGTGTGGAGAAGGTGAGGGCCATGGCTGCTGTGTGGAGAAGGTGAGGGCCATGGCTGCTGTGTGGAGAAGGTGAGGGCCATGGCTGCTGTGTGGAGAAGGTGAGGGCCATGGCTGCTGTGTGGAGAAGGTGAGGGCCATGGCTGCTGTGTGGAGAAGGTGAGGGCCATGGCTGCTGTGTGGAGAAGGTGAGGGCCATGGCTGCTGTGTGGAGAAGGTGAGGGCCATGGCTGCTGTGTGGAGAAGGTGAGGGCCATGGCTCCTGTGTGGAGAAGGTGAGGGCCATGGCTCCTGTGTGGAGAAGGTGAGGGCCATGGCTGCTGTGTGGAGGTGAGGTCTGGCACGGGAGAAATTATCTCTGGACACACTCACTGTCCATAGGCGTCCATGACGTCTGTGATGTCAGCTCGCTCCCCACTGTCTATCAGCAAGTGCAGGGAATCGGTGTGGCCGGAGGCAGCTGAAAGGCAAGGGGAGCTCGTCAGGACCGTGTCAGGAGGGGAGGCGGGCTGGCTCTGGGCTTAAGGACTGGAGCTGTGACAGTCCAGGCAAGGAGAAAGCTTCAGGTGGGAAGCTATCAGTCAACACTGGAAGTTTGCATCCTCCTTGCCCTAGCCTACTCCCAACCCAGCTGTTGGGGGGTGGGTGGGGTCTGGCAACAGCTGGACAGAGTCCACTAACCAGCAGCATGTAGGGGTGTCCACTTGCGTTTACGCTCCTTGATGAGGGCAGAGGCACCATGGGCTGTGAGCACCTCCACACACTCAGTAGAGCCTCGCTCGGTGGCCAGGAAGAGCGCGGTGCGGCCCTTGTGGTCCCTTACATCCAGATTCACCAGCGTCTCAGCCAGTGTCTTCAGGGCTTCACAGTGACCATTGTAGGCCTGCGGGTAACCAACACACACGGCTAAGGAAACTCCTCTTCCTACTCTGCTGCCGGGACTGGGGGGGGGAGGGGCGCTCCGAGTACCACACCTCCGTGGGCTCTTTCCAGAAAACCTGCTTGCCACATCTCAATGAGAATGAATGCAGACACAAAGCTCGCAGGATGGCTCAATGGGTAAAGAGCTTGCTGTGCAAGCCTGAGAACCTGAGCTCCAAATACAGGCAGAAATACTGTGGAGCAATCCTTTTGCACACTGAGAAGATTTGTCGCTGTGATTAGCTTAATAAAGAAGCTGACTGGCCAATAGCTGAACGGGAAAGTCAAATTGAGAATGCTGGGAAGGAAAAAGGCGGAGTCAGGGGTCACCAGCCAGACCCAGAGGGAGCCATACTAATAAAGGTACCGCCAGATGGCAGGGTGTAAAAAGGAATACGGGCTAACTTAAAATGTAAGAGCTAGTTAGTAATAAGCCTGAGCTACTGGCCAAGCATTTACAATTAATGTAAGTCTCTGTGTAGTAATTTGGAAGCAGCTCCCAGGATGAAAAAAATCTGCTTACAGGAGGTAAAGTTAGCTCCACAAAGTTGTCCTCAGATCTTCACACGCACACCATGGTGCATGCCTGACCATACACACACATCATCATTACACACACACACACACACACACACACAAAATAAAAAAGAACGCAGATGTAAGGATGGGTTCATGGTGCTAGCTCAGCTGTGAACGGTCAGGAAAGGACGACAAAAGGAAAAGATGTTGGACTCACAGCTAAGTGCAAAGGGCTGACTGGAACAGTGCTCTCCACATCCTCCAGGCAGTTAAAGGACATTTCTAAGAGCTGCAATGATGGAAAGTCAGTCCATGCTGAGGTTCCAGAGCTCCCCACACGTGCGCCCCTGCCACACTCACGGATATCCCTCAATATCCCAATTCAACCGTACCTGGTTTTGTGATCACAAACCTGAAGGCAGACTCCAGCCCTGTTCCTGCCCCCTCCCCCGGGCCAGGTCCCCACACATACCAGTTCGAGGTTCTGTCTGTTGCCGTAGGCGGCTGCATAGTGCACAGCTGTGTAGCCCTGCCTGTCCCGCAGGGAGGGGTCTGCACCATTATCCAATAAGAACTCCAGACAGCTGGGGAGCCAGGGACACACTGTGAGGCGGGGACGGTGCAGCTCTGGGAGGGGCAGGGGACGGGGCAAGGGCGCCCTGCAGGCCACCTTCTGTTCTATGTAGATTCTTTAGACCCCGCCTGTCCATCCTTCAACCCTAGTTGCCTCCACCTGGGCTACCAGCTCCAGCCCTGTCCTTTATGCTCTGGACCTTCTTGGCATGTGCTTGGCTCGCAGCCTTCTGCCGGTGGGTATCCTCATTCCTGCCTCCAAGCACACCGAGCCTTGCCTGGCAGGCCTGCTTCTCCCCCAAATGGCTCAAGTCCAACTCATCTCAAACTCAGATTGTACCGCTCTGCTCTCTGGGGCTTCCTAACAATGCCAGTCCCTCCTCTTAGGCACCACTGCCCTGGAGCTCTTCACTTCCCTATTCTAACGGTAACTTTACTATGTATCAAATTGTATCAGATACTGTGTGGCCAGCATCTCATATATACCCATTTAACTATCATAATTATCCTCAGAGCTGGATACCTTTTTTTTTTTAATGACAGGGTTTCTCTGTGAAACAATCCTAGCTGTCCTGGAACTAGCTCTGCAGACCAGGCTGGCCTCAATTTCACAACAACAGGCCTGCTTCTGCCTCCCAAGTGCAGGAATTAAAGGTGTGCACCGCCACCGCCACCCGGTAAGCTAGATACATTTTTTTTTTCACTACTAGAGTTGAAAAAAATTTAAGTAGAGAGGATAAAGAACCTTCCTAAAGTCACAAAGCTAAGCCTCTTCAATGTGTTTGTTTTGCTTGTTCCTGGAGTCTCTCTGTGTAGCCCTGGAACTCACTGTGTAGACCAAGCTGATCTCAAACTCAAAGATACATCTGCCTCTACATCCTGAGTGCTGGGACTAAGGGTTTACATCACCATGCCTGGTTTTTTTCTTGTTTTGCTTTTTTGAGTCTCTTGTAGCCCAGGCTGGCTGTAAACCCACACTTTTAACAGAATGACCTTCAATTCCTCACCTTCTGGTTGCACCTCCTGAGCACTAGAGTTAAAAAGCCTGTGACACTATGCCCAACTTTTTTTTTTTTTTAAGATAGGGTTCATTTAATAGCTTTGGCTGTCATGAACTATCTATCTTCATAGACTAAGCCGACCTTGAACTAAGATCTGCCTCTGCCTCCCAAATACTAGGATCAAAGGTGTGTACCATGACCAACAGCTCTTTTTAAATGTCTGAAGTCTAAAATTTACAGAAAAACATGATAGTAAGCGCTTCCATGTACCTCATAATCAATCTCCTGTTACCAACCTCTTATAGCAGTGAGTATGAAAGTCCTTTTACCTATTCTCCCAACAGATGATTTCAGTGTTGTTTTTTTTAAGTGTGAGAGTATGTGTATGTGTGTGTGTGCGTGTGTGCACATGCACACGTCCAAAGTCAGAACAACTTCCAATAGTCAGCTTCTCTTCCACATGGGTCCCAGAGACCACTCAGGTCTCAGGCTCATTAGCCAGGGTCCTGGGTGGCTCCTGGAGTTGTCACTGAGGGGTGAGTTTTGAGGTTTCAAATGTTCAAGCCACACCCTGTGTCTCTCTCCCGGCCTCTCTTTACCCTGGTAGTTGGTTTTCAGAAGGAAAACATTCACCTGGCTGTTGCTGAGTTGACATCTTGCCATGTAGTCTGGGCAGACCTGCACCTACACCCTCCTGTGCCCACCTCTTTGTGTGGCTGCTGGTGGGCACTCTTAACCTCATTTTTAGGTGGGATTTTTTGCTTTTTGTGACCAACTCTCACGAAGCACGAGGTGTACTGGAACTTACAGCATCCTCCTGCTCAGATTCAGTGCTAGCTGGAAACTATGGGCATGGAGACTACGGGTGCAAGAGACTACAGCTAGCTCCTTTTTTTCTCCCTGAAAAGGGTTTCCATGTAGCTCAGGATGGCCTCAAACTCTTTGGAACAAGGTTGTCCTTGAACCCCGATCTTTCCTTATCCCTTGAACCTCCTCACCTACTAAGGACTAGAATTATGGACATGCGCCACCAACCACACCCAGCTGTTTCAGATTGTTTGAGACGGGGACTGGATATGTCGTCCTTGATGTCCTGGAACTCCAGACATAATCTTTCCACCTCTGCCTCCCCAGTGTTGGAATTAAAGGTCTTTTTAACGAAGTTTATGGAAACACAATTTCCCCACTCACTTATGTCAGTGGACATCAACTCTAGGGAAATTCCCAAAAACATTTTTGGTTGTTGTGTTGTTCTGATATGGGAAACTGTTTTAACATTGTACCCTACCAGTGAAATCACCCCGCGCCCCCATTCTTGGAACCAAAGCCTTGGAGTAATTCATCTGTTTTGTTTTAGAGAGGAAGGTCTGACTACACAGTCCTGGTTGACCTATAACTCACTACATAGACCAGGCTGGCTTCAAACTCTGCCTCCTGAGTGCTAGGAATAATGGTCTACACCACCACGCCCAGCTTAATTCATCTTTTATCCTTTAGTACCAGCTAGGAGGAGGCTCAGTGGCATACTGCCCACCTAGAGTGAACAAAGATCATTCTACGTTCAGTCCCCAGAACTTCAGGACTTAAAACACTCGGAACAGAGTGAATGTTCAATTAAGGCATCGCATGTATGTAGTTTTTCCAGTTTTTTAAGAAGCCCCTGCTCAAGTATTCACCTTTAATCCCAGCACTCGGGAGGTAGAGACAGGTGGATCTCTACGAGTTCAAAGTCAGCCTGGTCTACAGACTGAGTTCTATGTGAGCCAGGGCTGCACAGAGGAACCTGTCTCAGAAAACCCTAAGAAAAAAAAAAGCTCCTGCTTCTTGAGGCCAGGAGCCACCTCTCATTTCTGTCTTTCCTTTCCCTGCACGCAGAGCCCTGCACACCCCACACTGCTGGCTAACAGACAAGGCAGCAGGAGGCCACAGTCGTGGAGATTTAACATGGTGTGAGGACCAGGTGCCAGGGTGGCACTGTGGGAAGGCACATCCCAGCATCCTCTTTAGTACTCACAAGAAGGCCTCCTTCCTGCGGGACTCCTTCAGCAGCTCATCCTCTTCCGCATCATGGCTGGAAGCAGTGTGGGGTTCCGCCCTGGCACAACGGAGCAGAAAGGTTAGGAGAGTTCCAAGGGGTGCAAGAGGCCCAGAAGAACCAGGGCGGAGCCTCACCTCCGGTAGGTGTCAGAGGCAGCAGCGTAGTGAAGGGGGGAGCAGCCTTTGCAGTCAGCCTCATTGACGCCCGCCCCGGCGGTCACCAGTGTCACTGCGCACTGGTAGCTACCGTTGGCAGCTGCATAGTGCAGTGGAGTCCTGGAGAGTAGTCACAGAACAGATCAAAGGGACAGATATGGAGGCCACCGCCACCTCCAGCCACACTCCCCTCCCTCCCCGTTCTCTCTCTAACCAGACATTAACTTGCCTTCCAAACTTGTCTCTCCTCCTCAGGTCAGCTCCACTGCTCAAAAGCAAATTAAGACATTCAACGTTCCTAAAAGCGAGACCAGGCACAAGAGTGAGTGGCAGCCTTCAAGCACGGCCATCAACCAAGGGACAGGCTGAGAGGGCCATCGGGGACTACGTTCACAGTTGGAGGGAGAGAGACGGCAGACGGTGGGAGCCCACGCCCTGGCCCAGCTCCCAGGACACACCCTCCAGAAGCAGCAGCATGGAGACAGGTGCGGCCAAGGCTGTCCGGGGTGTTGATGTCAAACCCAGCGGAAAGCACATGCTCATTGCTGAGCGAAGACACGATGCTGTACAGCTGACCTGGAGGAACACATCAGCCACAGTTGGCGTCCAGGAGCCCTGAGCCTCCTCCCTTCCCAGCACCCAGCACATACCTGAAGAAAGAAGCTTCCGGCAACAGTCAGAGAATCCAAAGAGAACAGCTAAGTGCAGGGGAAACATGTCGTGGATACCGCGCCTGGGAAGAGGTTGAGGGACTCAGCCCTTGGGTCAAGGAAGGCCCAGTTACAGCACCCCTTTCTGTGGCCCACCACCACCCTGAGTCAGGGCAAGGGGGTCCCCAAACTTCCCTGTGTCTGATGTTAACAGTACGCCGCACAACCTGATGTGGCCCAGAAGCAGGTCAAGGGTCAGCCCCGACTCACCGGGCGGTATCCGCGCCATTGGTCATGAGGGTGCTGATGAGCAGCTCGTGTCCGTAGCGGGCAGCCACATGTAGTGGTGTGTTCCCAAATTTGTCAGCACAATCAATCTCGCTACCTGAGGCAAGGACACACACAACCCAGGCACGCCTCAGGCTTAAGTCCACTAATACTGGTTAGTGATCACTCAAGTCAGTGATCACTCAAGTGCCATTTATTGTAGGTTGGATTGAACTAAGCATTCTCCATGCATCTTTTTTTTGGAAGCCTTTGACTGAGAAAAAGAGTTCCAAATATCTATTGAGTGGAAAAGGGGTGGGGGATAAGGGTGGGGAGGAAGGATAGAGGGGAAGGGGGGGAGGGGAGAAGGGGTGGGGGAAGAAGGCGGTTCCTAAGGACCTGTCCCTTGGAGGAAGAGAGCACAAAGTCCGAGTCCATACCATTCTGGATGAGGATCTGGGAGCGGGTAAATCGGCCATGAATGGCAGCCATGTGCAGAGGACTTTTTCCTTCTTTGCTCTGTGGAAACACGATGGTGTTTATTAAATGTAAAGCAGAGAGACTGCCCTGTTCCCTCTTTTAAGAGCACATCAACCAAGACGGAGAAGTTATATGGTTACCCAACCACATTCTCAAGACCCTGATAAGACCTCATCACCCCAGAAGACCCGTAGGTGGGTAACCCCCCCAGAACTCCTTGGATGTGGCTGGAGCCCCAGAGCTACTTGTATGTGCCACACCCTCTGAAGTACCTGGTAGTTGACATCAGCCCCGTTATTGACCAACAGCTCCAAGCAGAGTGCGCCATTGGTGGAGACAGCTGCCACATGCAGTGGTGTGAAACCCTTGTCATTTGGCTGGTTGACATTAGCTCCGGCATTCACGAGTTCTATGGCCACAGCATCCTGGCCCAGGTAGCAGGCGATGTGCAAAGCTGTGTTTCCAAAAGCGTTGGGCTCATCGATCTGGATTTCCAGGGGTAGGGGTACGGATTATCAGTTTAAACAAAGTTGGAAACAGCCAATTAGCCTAAGCGCCCTAGAAATCCTGTGTCCGCCCCTTCGGTTTCTAATCCAAAAGCATAATGTTGCTATTAAGCCCTAACCAGACACTTTCACCATACTCTTCCGACCCGAGGCCCTGTCCTGAGCCTGACACGGTGCTTACGGCTCTGACCTCGGCCCCCATTCGGAGCAAGTACTTCACCACTTCGATCTGGCCGCTGGCCGCAGCTGTGTGCAACAGCCCGTAGCCCTTCCGGTCTTTACAGCTGAGGTCTGCTCCACGTGCCACCAGAAGTTTCAGGACCTCCAAATGCCCTAAGAAAAGGAGGGGGAGGGGAAAAGTGTGCCTAAAATAAACCCAGAGGCCCCAGCTCCACCCCCCACCCAATCCCCTGGAACCAGAGATACAGACAGTTGTGAGCTGCCATGAGGGAGCCGGGAATGGAACCCGGGCCCTCTGGAAGAATAATCAGTATTCTCAACCACTGCGCCATCTCTCCAGCCCCCTGCCCCCTTGGGATTTTTAAGCCAAATTCCTCCTTTCCTTACAGTGTCTCTCACCTAGAAAAGCTGCCCAGTGCAGTGGCTGCCGCTCCTTTTTATCGCAGACATTCAGGCTCGCTCCCTTGTTGAGGAGCAGGTTCACCGTCTGTATGAGGATATAAAAGACACAGAGACAGGTTCATGTCCTCAACCTACCCAAGGCAGAGGCCGCTGATCTCCTGAAAGAGACAGTCTGGTATCTTTCATGTTTGCAGTGTGGGGGTAGCAGCTAGTGCCTCTGTTCATGAACACAACAATCAGAAGCAACAGCAGCAACAGTGAGCTCAGGAATCAAAAGATGACCATGGATGGACATTCAGGGTCCCTTCGGATGCTCTGCTGATTCTCAGCACCTTAGAAGCCTCCGGAAGCATGCTGCATAACATGGACCTTCTCTTCATAAAGATACGCACACAAAAACATTGCCGCCAAGAGGTGGTGGTGCACACCTTTAATCCCAGCACTCTAGAGGCAGGGGCAGGCAGACAGGAGCCACAATTTATTTCAGGACAGTTTGATCTACACAGTGAAACCCTGTCTGGAAAAACCAAACCAAAACGAAAAACAAACAAAAATTCCCATGGAATCTCAAAAGGTCCTCCTCAAGTCCAAGTTGAATTTCAGGATAAGTGTTATGACGCTTGCCCGCAATAACTTCCAAGAAGACTGCCACAAGTTCAAGGCTGCCTCAAAATGAAACGTAAAAAGAGGGATGGATGTAGATATAAGCTGGGCAGTTCAACACTCACCATAACACTAGGAAGCAAAAGAATTTCAATCTATGGGTTGAGAATGCAGCCCTTACTAAGTATGTGTAACAGAGGTTCAATAAAATCTCATTGTAGGCTGGGGATGGTAGTGCACACCGTAAATCCCAGCCCTCAGAAGGTAGTGGCAGGTAGACATAGGTGAATTCAAGTTCCAGCCTGGCCTGATCTACACAGTAAGTGCCAGGCCAGTCAAGCATACATAGTAAGGACCCTGTGTCGAAAACAGACTAAACAGAAAAACACACATAAATCCTCAATCTAATGCAATCACTTGTCTGGTGCTTAAGCCCAGATGTTAGTGTAACTCTCTGAATCCTGTCGCAGGGTAGAGCGGGAAGGGCAGGGGACACGGGGCGGAAACTGGAAGGGTCCTCACCTCCAGATGCCCACTGTGAACTGCATGGTGCAGAGCGCTGCGCCCACTCCTGTCAGCCACATTCAGGCTGCTCAACAGGGGTGCCAGAGCCTCAGCACACTTGGTGGCCCGGTTGGCAGCAGCCACATGCAGTGGTGTCTGCCACAGCTTGTCCCGGGCATTCACATCAGCTGAATGTGCCAGTAGCAGCCCCAGCACCTTCTGTGAAGGAGCAAGGGACAGGAGAAAAGGAGAGCAGAGTAAGATAACGGAGCAGGAAGGGCTGGCGTGGCGCACACATGGCCCACCCCCCAGTGCACCCTGACACCACCCAGTGTCTCCAAAGCTGATACCCGGACAGCTTCAACATCCTTGCTTGGCTGAGGGAAACATCTCTCTTCCTCAAGCCACCTGGCATCTATCACCCTCCAACCCAGCTCCTGAAAATCTTCACTCACATCCATCCATCCATCCGAGATAAACCCATATACCCCCAAGCCCACTTCCAGGAAAAAGATGCTCCCACTATATTAATGGCAAAAAAAAAAAAAAAAAAAAAACCTAACCCCTCCCTTTATCCCTTCCATAGACACCAAAAATCATGTCTATTAACCCAACAAACATACTGGATCCTCTCCAAAATCCAGGCTAAAATGCTCCTCTTCAACACTTCAAACATCATTCTACTCGGCCTCAGGGCCTCCCACACCGCCCCCTCCCTGCCCCCCCAAGAGCTGGCGCTAAGAAAGTGATGGGGATCCAAGAAGGGGTCTTTCCCTCTCTTTAAGGTTGGTGGCACCATAGCACAGGACTCCTCAGATGAGTTTGGCCCCTTATGTGGTCAACTTAAATGTGACACAATGGTCACTACTGCCTACACCATCACTAAGAGAAATCTTAATGCTCACAGGGGGACCAGACTTAAGGTGGCCCCCCAGGGAGGGATGACTCACTCAGGCCTGGCAGCAGGGCCCCGCAGTCTGCCAGCCCAGTGTTAAAGCTCTCTCTGACGTCACATTAGCTGGCAGCACTCAGCCCCCCTTACCAGCCAGTTCTAGGGGCAGGAAGGAGGGGCCAAAGTCTGGTCTCCTCCCTATGAGGGGCAGAATAGTCTGAGGGCAGAGCGGTGAATTGAGGTGGGGTCCATACCTCGTTTCGGGAGGCAGCAGCACGATGAAGAGGGGTCAGCCACAGTGTGTCCTTAGCGTTGACATTAGCACCTGTGTGGATACAATTTCCTATTCTGTTAGGATTTGGGGGGGGGGGCAGTAATGGCAGTGGAGGACCTGAATGGACAGAGAGAGAGCCTTTCCTGGACCGAGCACCAGCAAGCAATCCTTGGGTATGAAGAGACTTCATCCCTCCCTAGGTGCCACACCTTTCCAGCTCCCCACTTTTACCTGACATCAGTAGCAATTGGAGGATGGGGACATCGCCTACGTAGGCAGCAGCATGCAATGGGGTTCGCCTCTCCTGGTCCTGGAAAGGCAGAAAGAGAACCGGCTGCAGAGAGAAATTACCCTGGACCCTGGTTCAAGTATGAGAACCTCCAATCCCTTCCTGTAGGTTCTGCAGGGTCTTAAGTCCACATACAGGGGGGGGGTGTCTCAAAAGTCAGCATCCAGGGAGGGTGGAGTCAGGGCCACCGACCGAGAAACCTACTCCTTCCCGTAGGAATGGGGGCGCTGCAGACCCCGATGGTTGAGAAGAGAACACTGGTTTTTGGGGTTTTTTTTTCTTTTTCTGGGTATCCCCAGAAACCCGCTGGTCGGTGCTCCACGCCTGACCAACCTCAAACGCGGAGCAGGCTCTCGTTTCTGAGTAGGAAAGAGCTGCAGTTCCATCGGAGCGGCGGAGAAACGGAGCCGCCCCACTTGCGGGGAGGGGTCCCGAACCCCGGAGCCCGGATTCCGGCTCGCCATCCTCCCCGCTCCTAACTCACCAGCACATTGATGTTCTCCTTCTGCGAGAGGAGGGAACGCACTTCCTCCACATCTCGGCTAAAGATGGCCTGGACCAGGGGCGGCTGCAGGGAGAGCCAGCTTTCAGCGAGCGGGCCCGAGCCGCGGCGGAGCCGGGAGGTGGGGGAGCACGCAGGTTGGGTTGGGTTGGATGGAGGGGAGGGGGGCGTCGCTCGAGGGGCTCCGCCACGGGCTCCGGGCTGCGGCGGATCCCTGCGGCGCCCCCCACCGGTCGCCAGGCCCCCAAGGACACCCGCTCCGCGGAGGGGAGCACGGCGTGGGGCGCGGCGGGAGCCGCGGGAACCCCGGGCTCGGGCCCAGCCTAGGCCGCACATCCCCGGGCTCGCGTGGCGGCCGCGCCGGGCCCTGGGAGGAGGACGTGGGGAAGGGCGGGCGGGCTGACCTGGTCCGTGATGCTGAGGATCCCCATGGCCCGGCCCAGGCTCCGTCCGCATCGAGCTCGCGGCGGCGGCGGCGGCGGCAGCGGCGGCGGCGGCGGCTCCACCGGGGACACGGGCGGCCCAGGCGGCGGCTGCGGCGGCGGCGGCGGCGGCTGCGGGGAGAGGGCGGCCCCGCCTACCGGGGGGCGGGCGAGCGGGAGCCCGCAGCGCTCCCTGGCGGCGAGCCTGCGCCGGGCCTCGGGGCGCGCTCCGCACAGGCTGCCGCCGCCGCCGCCGCCGCCCAGGCCTCGGCTCCCTCCGCCCGGCCCGCGGCGCGGTGCGGCCCGGGCTGCTCCGCTCGCTCCGCCGGCCGCGCCGTGCTCGCCGCTGCGGCCGGGCGGCCCGACAGGTCCCCGGCCGGGCCATGGCGCGAGCTCGGGTCCCGCTTCCCGCAGTGGCCCCCAAACTCGGGAGGAACTGCCGGCTCGGAGGCAGCAGGGCTGGCGCCTCCCGGCCGCGCTCACTCACACACGCGCTCCATCCTCCACACAGGGCAGACTCGGAGCGAGCGCGGCCACCCGAGGCTCACATGTGGCCCCAGACCGAGTGTCCGCTGGGAGGAGAGAAAATGGCACGATTGCTAAGTTGTGCAGAGAAACCTCGAGCAAGTCGGCCGCTTCAGGAAGCCGCCACAAAGAGCACACAAGGCCTCCAAGGCCAACAGAAGGACACCAACTCCATGACTGCCCCGCTGCCAGGCTAGGGTAGTAACTCTCCCCCGGTGGGAAAAAAAAAGGCTCACCCATTAGTGAAGTTAAGGGAAGAAAGGGTCAGCCAATCGGACAGAAATGGGGAAAAGAAAGTGGAGATTGATAGACAGGTGGGTACGGTTTATAAGAGATAATTCAAAGCCAGACATGAATCATACCTAAAATTCCTGCACTCTGGAAACTGAGGCTAGACTGTGTGTTCAAGAACAGTCTGGGCTTTCTTTCTTTCTGTTGATATGATAACCCTGACCAAAACGACTAAAGGGTTTCTTTCATCTTACACGTCCAGGGTACAGTCCTTCTTCGAAGAAAGCTAGGACAGAAACTCAAACAGGAGCTTGCTCGCAGAGGGAGCGCCGGGAGTGGAATGCGGCTTGCAGGCTCAGGCTTATCTAGATGTCTTATCAGCTCCAGGACCACCTGCCTAGGGATGGTTCCACCCACAGTGGGCTGGGCCTTCCCACTCAATCAGCAGTTAGCAAATGAGAAAGTGTTAGCGCTGGAGAGGCCAGTCAGCTAGTTAAGAGCTCTGACTACCCTTCCAAAAGACCCAGGTTCAATTCCCAACACCCACCCACATAGCAACTCAGAGCTGTTTTATAAGACCGACTCCAGATAATTTGGTAGGCTTCTGGCCTCTCTGGTTACCGGGTATGAACTTGGTGGAGACCTAGTTATGCAGCTAAAACATCCATACACGTAATAAAAGTTTTTAAAGTTACATTGAAAAGAAGAAAAAAGAAATGCCCCTGATATTGTCACAGGTGACTCTGATCTAGGCAATTTTTCTTCCTTCCTTCCTTCCGTCCTTCCTTCCTTTGTCTCTCTCCCTCTCCTGGAACTCACTCTATAGATCAGGATGGCCTTGAACTCACAGAGATCCACCTGCCTCTGTCTCCCCAGTGCTGGGATTAAAGGCATGCACCACCACTACCTGGATTTTTAAAACATTATTTTTAAAGATGTATTTTATGTGTGTATGAGTGCTCTGTCTGTATGTATGTCTGCATCTCAGAAGAGGGCATCGGGTCCTACGTGGATGGCTGTGAGCCAGCATGTGGTTGCTGGGAATTAAACTCAGGTCCTCTGGAAAAGCAGCCAGTGCTCTGAACCACTGAGCCATCTCTCCAGCCACTAAGAAAATTATTTTAAAAGAGTCTAGGGTTAGTTGGGCAGTAGTGGCACACATCTTAATCCTAGCACTTTGGAGAAGAGGCAGAGGCAGGTGGATCTCTGGGAGTTCAAGGCCAGCCTGGACTAGGAATTGAGTTCCAGGACAGCTAGGGCTGTTGCACAGAGAAACTTGTCTTGAAAAACAAAACACAAAACAACAACCAAAAAAAGAGGCTAGGGTTGTAATTCAATTGGTAGACTTCTCCGGAGCATCCATGGCATCTCCGGTTCAATCTTTATAGCGCGGTACAGAATTGGTTGTGGGGGTGTACACCTGTAATCCCAGCCACTCAGGAAGCTGAGGCAGGCATGGATCACACGTTTTAATTCTGTGGAAGCGACAGACTTGCCTTCAGGGTTAGCCTGGGCAACTTAGTGAGGATATGTCTAAAAAAAATAAAAATAAATTAAAAGAGGGCTGAGAGAGCTAAAAAGACCGCATATTAAGTATGAGCACTCGAGTTCTTGCAGACTAGAGCTTGTTCCCAGTACCACATTGATGGCTCACAACCACTCGTAATTCCAAGGAATCTGATGCCCTCTTCTGGACCACCATGTGTACTGCACTCATGTGACTCCCCATGCCCCCTTCCTAAACACACACATATACCCAAATAAAAATGAAACAGATATTTTTTGTTTTGTTTTTCGAGTTAAGGTTTCTCTGCAGCTTTGGAGCCTGTCCTGGACTAGCTCTTCTCCTGGACTAGCTCTAGTAGACCAGGCTGTTCTCAAACTCACAGAGATCTGCCTGCCTCTGCCTCCCAAGTGCTGGGATTAAAGTCCTGCACCACCACCAGAGGGCTGAGGACATAGCTAAATGTAAAAAGGTTGCGGACAAGATGTCCCAGTGGATAAAGACACTTGTCACCACATTTTATGACCTGAGTTTAATCCCTGAAACCCATTGGAAGAGGAGACCCTCCAAATCACTACACACGGACTATGACACACATGCATTCAAATGCTATGTGTACACACAATAAGTAAGTAAGTAAATAAATAAATGTAAAAATGGTTGGGTTTTGGCCAGGCAGAATGGTGCTCTCCTTTAATTCCAGCATTTGGGAGGCAGAGACAGGCAGATCTCTGTGAGTTCGAGCCCATCCTGGTCTACAGAGCAAGTTTCAGGACAAGCAACAAAGCTATATGAAAACCCTGTCTCAAAAAAAACAAAAACAAAAAACGGTTGGGTTTTTGTTGTTGCTATTGTTTATGTAAATGACAGAGAGCTTGCCTGGCATGTGTGAAGTCTTAGGTTTGATCCACAGCACTACAAACTGAAAAAGAAAAAAGTAGCACACACCCAAAACATAAGTGTTGCTTTTTGTTGTTACTGTCTGTTGGTTAGTTGGTTTTCTCAGCCTAGAAAATCAGCATCTGGGACAGGCCCTTTATATCTGAGGAGGAGGCAGGAGGAGGGGAGAGAAGCTGAACTTAGCTGAAGGTCAGTCACATGGATGCTATTGCTTTAGCCGGCCATTGGGTGCTAGCTTGGCCGCTGGGTGTGGTGGGTCTTCCAGGAAGGGCTGAGCTAGGAACGACCCAAAGTGGATGAAAGGAATACACACCCTCCACTGCCCAAAATAGCTCTCAGTAACCTGAGGAAGGGGTCGAGCCAGAGTCACGTGCTGAGGCCTGGCTCAGGAGTGTAGGTGAACTCGGCAGAGAGCCAGACTGGATCTCTGGGCAGCTGGAACGAGGAAGGGCTGGAGGTTAGTCAATCTGTACTGATATTCAGAGCCAGAACGAGGACTTCCCAGTGAAGAAGGAAATGATTTAGTAACCCTGACACGTGTGAAGTGAAACTAAGGCAAGAAAACGAAAGTAGTGACAAAGACCACACTGGCTGGCGATGCAGGAGGATCTCTGTGAGTTCAAGGCCAGCCTGGTGTACAGAGTGAGTTCCAGGACAGGTTCCAAAGCTACAGAGAAACCCTGTCTTTAAAAAAAAAAAAGGGGGGGCCACCTGTGAACACAGTGGAACTTGCTGGGGATAGTGACACATACCTGTGATCCCAGCCCTTGGGAGGTCGAGCTAGGAAGGTCAGGAGTTTAAGGTCAGCCTTGGCTACAAGGCCAGGTCAGGCCAGCTTGTTCCATTAAGACCTTGTCCCCAAAACCAGAAATTGTTGGAGGTGGAGGGAGCATTTAGGAGTGCTTCTAACCATCTGAGGGTCTACTGTCCCCTTCTGTGTGTGTGTGAGCCCATGTGCCCATACATTCAGCCAAAACACACCTTTACACACAAAAACGTTAAAAATAGTAAACTGGGTAACTCCAGGCTCGCTCTCTCCCCCTTCCCTCCCTCTCCTCTTTGTGTGTGTGTGTGTGTGTGTGTGTGTGTGTGTGTGTTTCTAAGTCAAAGTCTTACTCTGTAGCCCTAGATGGCATCAAACTCACTATGTAGCCTAGATTGGCCTCAAATTCATCCTGAGTTCTGAGATCCCAGGTATGCAGAATCAAGCCTGATTTGGCTTGTCTTCCTTTAGACTGCTTTTCATTCTTGCAATGTGACAATAGGGTCCCCAGACCTTGGCACTACCAACTCCATGAAGGAAATACCAGTCAGGCCATAAAAGTTAGCACATAGACAGTTTATCTGCCAAACACACACACACACACACACACACACAAACCCCCCCAAAAAACAAAACAAAAACAAAAAACCGAAAGAAAACAAACACCTAATCCATCAAAGTCCATAGTATTAACCTTGCCTTTTGGTTTCTGTAGCTCCGCTTCTGGCTAACAGTTCTTGTTGACTGAAGCATGCCAACAAGGATATGTTTCTTTCGAATGAAAAGTTCATCCTAAGAAAGACTCAGGGCTACTCTGGGATCCAGAACATTCACCATGGTTGCCAGGTGGCTAATAAAGACTTTCTATTGGCTTACACCCATGTCTGAGCAGCCTTCTCTGGGGGTTACCCCACAACACTAACAAAGATTCAGTATATATACCTAAACTATACTAACTGGTCAATAAGTAGAAACTTAGGAATTTTAAGAGTGTGGTGGGCACAGTTTTAGCCCCAGAACCTGGGAGGCAGAGACAGACAGATCTGCGGGAGTTTGTGGCTAGCCTGGCCTACATGGGAAGTCCCAGGGCTGCCTGGAATATACAGCAAGAACTTGTCTCAAAACAAACAAGAAGGGAGTTATAGCCAAGCATGGTACACATAAATCCATATGTTTAGGTGGAATGTTAGGAGTTCAAGGCCAGCCTTGGACACACAATGAGTTTGAGGAAAGCCTGATCTACATGAGACTCTGTGTTTGTGAGGAACTTGTTACGGCAAGTGTCTCATTCTGAAATGTTTGTAACCGAGGAAGACATAACAAGCACATGGAACAATAAGAAAATAAAGGATGCATGCTTGTGTACATGGAATTCAGTACTCAGGGTACCACTGACCTGGGGTCAAGGCAGCCTTCTTGGAGGAGGTTCTTAAAGGAAGTTATTGGTGTGGAATGGCAGGAACATAGCAAGAGGTAAAGAGAATGAACTAGGCAAGGATTAAAGGGAAGTAATTAGCTCTTTAATTAGTTGAAGAACAGCAAGCAAATAGGTTTTGTAGGGCTACTGGCCCTCTGGGATTCCGAAGCAGTTAGCTCTCGGGTAAAGCAGGGTGTTAGTGAGGTCACAGTTCAGTCATGCATCCCAGTTAATTTCTCTCTTCTGCTCAACTTGCTCCTCACACTTCACTCCAAGCAGCTGTCTCCTACGTCAGAGGAGGCGGGTCCAGGCCAGAGAGTGACGCAGGACGGAGCACACTGCCCTTCAAGGGCATATGCCACGAGAGCACCTCATTGGAACTGGATAGGAGGGGATGTGGGGGAGGGAAGTGGGGATGAGGGCCCTCCCCGGAGGGCTTCCAGGGAAAAGTGTGAGAAGAGGGCAAGAAACTAAGTCAAGTCGTCCTGTTTCTGCAGTTCCGTCCCCCCCCAGGGTGGTGGGAGAAAGGGGTAGGAGGAAAGACACAAAACATGCATTTGGTGATTTAAAAAAAACACTTTTTATTAAGCGTGTGTGTATGTGGTGTGTGCGGGGTGTGTGTGGTGGGATGGTGTGTGTGTGTGGTATGTGTGTGTGTGTGTGTGATGTTTGTGTGTGCATGTGATGCATATGTGTGTGTGTGTAGGTCAGAGAAGGTTCTTTCCATGGGCGGTCCTGGGGATTGAACTCACATCTGGCTCGACAGCAAGCACCTTTACCCACTGAGCCATCAAGCCAGCCTCATCTTGGCTCTGAGACAGAATCCAGGGCCTCATTTGTGTAGCATTGGACTTGCATCACAGCATAGCTCTGATTGCCTGTCTTCTCCCTGCCACTGTTCGACAGCATTAATAAAGCAGAAGGGTTTGCTCTGTGACAGTCCCCACGTCCCAGGCTGGGGGAATTTTGCTTGCTGGTGCACTCATCTAGGTCTAGTCTCTAATTTGTAGCTTGTTTTGTTTCTCTCTTTTCCTCTGTTCTTAATATGTATGTATGTATGTATGTATGTATGTATGTATGTATGTATTGCTGTGCCTGCAGGCCAGAAGAGGGCGCCAGATCTCATTACAGATGGTTGTGAGTTACCATGTGGTTGCTGGGAATTGAACTCAGGGCCTCTGGAAGAGTAGCCAGTGCTCTAAATCGCCGAGCCATCTCTCCAGCCCGTTTGCTCTGACTTTTATCAAGAGCACTGTTTTCTCCTTCAATCATGGGAAGTAGTAAGTGGTGTTCACTGTTGGGCCTTGCCTGTGATGTACACGTTTTTTCCAGACAATAACCGCTCTTTTCTCTAAAAGAGTAAATTTTGGCCAGTTGTGGTGGCTCAAGTCTGTAATGCCAGCAATTGGGCAGGAGGATTCCTATGAGTTCAAGGTTATAGAAAGCTACAGACCAAGATCATGTCTCAAAATACATACCTCAAAGCAATCCCCTCCTGTGGTTCATGTCTGTAATCCCAGCAGCCGAGAGGAAGAGAGCACCTCCAAGAGTTCCAAGCCGGTCTGGCCCACATAGTTCCGGCCCCTCAAAGAACCAAGAAAACATGTTGTATGTTTGGTCTGGTTTGAGCCTGGGGCTTGCCTCAGTGTAGACCTGGCTACTCTAAAACTGGCTATGTAGCTCAGGCAGGCCCAAAACTTGTGGCAATCCTCCTGCCTCGGCCTCCGACCCCTTTTCACAGATATTAAGGGGGAAATTACGCTCCTGGGGACGTTCATGAAGGAGGACGGCAAATCCAAGGCCAGTCCAGGCTAAGGAGCTCGTGTAGAGTAACGAGAGGGGGAGGAAGGAAGAGAGAGGAGGGAGTGTAGAGCGAGGGGGGGGGGTAACTATTCAAGTCAGCCCTGAGCTTGCAACGCTAATACTCTTTTCCAAAGCTGTCAATCACCGCGGAGGGCACCGGGATGAGCAGAGCCTCCCAACTCCGACTCCCTCGCCGGTTCGCAGAGACGCTCCTCGGGACAACCACAGACCTCTGCCGTCGACACGCCCACGACGTCGCCTCTGCGCCTACGTATCAGGTCCTGTGACCGCGGACTCGCCAAGTAGTTTGTGCCAGGCGACCTCGCTACCCCCAGCCATCCCGACAGCTCCTCCGACGCGCACCCGGCGCCCTTTCTTTCTCTGCAGAGGTGTCAAAGAAACTACATCTACCGACAGGCAGCGTCGTGGCTGCCCTTTCCCTTCCTCCCTCGCCCTGCCTCTCCCGATCCCGCGGGCAGCGGTGACGTGCGGGGACCCGGAGCTGCGGTCAGTGCGAGCGTGCCGGATCGGGGCGAAGGCAGCCGGAGCGCGCCCGCCCTGCCCGCCCGCCCGGGCTCCGGTCCTCTCCGCAGCTCGCCGGCCACGGGCGCGCGCATGGCCTCTGCGGGCGCGCGGAGGCTCCGGGCGCCGACGCGCGCGGCCGCCCGGAGCTGCGGCGGCTTCTCGCTCCGCCCGGGCGCGCGCGCGGCCCCGCCCCCGCCCCCGGGCCCGCCGCGGCCAATGAGGTGAGAGGCGGGCACGGGCGTCGGTCGGCTCCGGGCCGGAGGGGGGTGGCGTCCCCGGCCGCGGCGCCCCGGGGACACCGGTGCCGTGCTCGGCTCGGGGTGGGCGCTCCCGGCCGCACCGTGGGGTAGGGGTGCTTGCGGCGGTCGCGTTGCCCCGAAGGCAGCTGGCTCTTGGGACGCGTCCTCCTGGGCCCCATCCCCACCCCTGGCCCTGTCCTCAGCCGCCCTCGACCTTTCGCACTCGTGACTGCCGGGCCTGGCCCGCCAGCCGGCCCCGCTCGCTGCAGCAGGTGCTAGCGGGAGAAAAGCTTGCCCCAGCGACCTTCCTCCTCCGGGATGCAGCCTCCTTCCCCTTCACCTGGGATTGGCTGGATACAAAAAAAGAATCGTGACGCTCCCTCTCCTTTCCTCTTTGGCGCTAGGTTTCTGATCTCCTGTAACCTCTTCTTGCCCCGCGCTGCCCAGGTCTTGGCGGCTGAGGCTGGCCTACCTCCTTGTAGATCCTTTATGGGCTTTGCTGCCCCCTTCACCAACAAGCGGAAGGCTTACTCGGAGCGTAGGATCATGGGGTGAGCATCCTTCTCTTCCACTCCAAATAGACAACCATGTGCCAAGAGCGCATAAGATTTCCTGTTGGGTCACCCGGCTCCCCAGCAGAGTTTTTGCGCCAGCCTTCCAACCTAAATTTTCCTCCTCGGCTGCTCCCCACGAGCGTTAAATGAGTCTAGAACTGAGTTACCTCATAGAAACGAATCAAAACTACGGGTAGTTGAGTGTGGTGGCACAGGACTGTGATCTCAGCTCTGGAGGCCTAAAGCGGGATTGCAAAGTGGAAGCCTCCCTGGGTTACATTGCCCAGAGTCTGTGTCATACGTATTACACACATATACTTGAGACAGGGTCTCGTATAGCCTAGGTTGGCCTTGAATTGACATATAGTCAGGGTAACTTTGAACTTCTAAGTACCGGGCCTCCACCCACCTCCCTAGAGTTGGGATTACAGGCATGTGACATCATGCTTATTGCATACAGTGTTGAGCCTTGCACATGCTAAGAAACCATTTCCCAGCTTTTTCTTATTTGTTCGTTTGTTGAGACAGTTTCTCTGTGTAGCTTTGGAGACTGGCCTGGAACTCACTCTGTAGACCAGGCTGGCCTCGAACTCACAGAGATCAAACTGCCTCTGCCTCCCAAGTGCTGGGATTAAAGTTGTGTACCATCACAACCAGGCAGGCATCTCTCTTTTTGAGACAGTCTCATTATGCATCTCTGGCTGTCCACCTTGGAACTATATAGACCAGGTTGGCTTCTAAGTCAGAGATCCTCCTATTTTGCCTTAGTGTTGGGTGCCAGGACTAAAGGCTTGTATCACTATGCCAGGCCTTTTTTTTTTTTTTTTTTGTTTTGTTTTGAGACAAGGCCTTATTATGTTATTATGTAGCCCTGGCTGGCCTGGAACTCAGAGATCCAGTAGCCTCTGCTTCCCAAATGCTGAGATTAAACGTATGTACCATCATGCTTAGCTATAACCAAAAAAAAAAAAAAAAAAAAAAAAAAACTTTAAAAAAAAATGATAGACACTGGAAAGTTGGCTCATTGGTTATTACAAAGGACCCGGGTTTTCCCAGCCTGACATGGAGGTTCACTACCACTTCACACACTAGCACACATGCAGTGCACACATGTATGTTGTGCACACATGTGCATGCATGCAAAGAACTCATACACATAAAATAATAAAAATAAGCCTAAATTTTAACTATGAAAAAACGGGTGGGGTGCTGGAGAGATAGCTTAATGATTAGGAGCCTGTGCCATTAAGTTCAGCTCCTAGCACCTACATTAGGTGGCCTGAGTCTCTAGCTCCAGAGGACCTTGTATCCTGTTCTGGACTGTGGGCACATGCACTCCTGTACATACAACACACACACACACACACACACACACACACACACACACACACGACTAATGGTACAGGCTCACAACCTTCGCACTCCGGATGCTCAGGGAGGGCCTCCTATCAGCGGCAGCCCACTAACCTGCACCACAGGCTCCACAGCTACAGGTGGTGGTGGTGTGACTGTGGAGGTGGGGGCACTGCCTGCCAAGATTAACTGAGTTTGGTCCCCTGCATCTCCATGGCGGAAGGGAGAGCCAACCCTTGGGAGTTGTCTTCTGACCTCATTGTGCACGCAGACACAGCTCCCAACCAAGTAAATGTAAAATACTATCATTATTTGAGTCAGGTCTCTCTGTGTAACAGCCCTGGATGCCTTGGAGCTCACTGTAGACCAACCCACCTTCAGAGTGCTGGCATTAAGGGAATGTGCCACCATGCCCAGCCAGAATAGCTATTTTGGGGCCCTTGTTACTTACCAGCTGCTAGGTTGAATGGGTTAGCAATCCCAAGTGCTGAATTGCAGGCGAGTACTGCCATGCCCATTTGTTTATTTAAGATGTTTGGTTACGTGTAACTGTATGCGGATGTGCACATATATGAGTACAGGTGTCCTCAGAGACCAGACTTACTTGATCTTCCTGGAGGTTGGAGTTAGGAAGGTTGTTAAGCTGTGGGGATCAAACCTGGATCCTCTGAAAGAGCAGCTAGTGTTCTTAGCCAATGGGCTATCTCTCCACCTAGCTGGAAACACCACATCAGTTTATGTGGCACTGGGGAATGAATGTGTCTCATTTAGTTCTCACAAGCACACGGACCAAGTATTATTTGCTCCCAGTGTATTACAGACAAGAAAACAATAGACACAGATGATTTACCCGAGGCTGCACTATTCAGAAGTTGTACACAACACAATTTTCTTTTTAAAAATCCAGTGACTCGGCAAGGAAAGGCACTTGCCACCAGGCCTGAAGACCTGATTAAATTTGATTCCTTAAGTCTACAACGATGGAAGGGGAGAACTGCTTTTTATCTGATGTTTTATCATGCATGTTCCATATAAACACACAAAGTTTTTCTCTGATCTCTACGTATGTTCCATGTATAGACTCACGAAATTTAAAAAATGTAAAAAAAAAAAAAAGATTTGACTACCAATAAACCTGACACCCCATCATCTATAGCCCTATCGAGATGAAACAATAATCATACAGGTTTCTCTGCCTGGGTCCCCGGGGTCAGTGGCGAGGACACCGAGCCAGCTGGCAGCTCCTTGGCCTTGTTTAATTCCTCTTGTCCTAGGTACTCGATGCAGGAGATGTTTGAGGTGGTATCCAACGTCCAGGAGTATCGAGAGTTTGTGCCGTGGTGTAAAAAGTCACTGGTTGTATCCAGCCGCAAGGGTCACCTGAAAGCCCAGCTGGAGGTTGGGTTTCCACCTGTCTTGGAACGTTATACCTCTGCAGTCTCCATGGTCAAACCGCACATGGTCAAGGTAAAGCCATTCTGGGAGGGACTGGGGGGGGGTTGTCCCTTAGCAGTTTATTTTGGCCTTTCCTGCAATTACTTGCTTCCTACGTGTCAGATACTTACCAAATATAACATTAAAGGAAAGGAAAATCACTTTTATTTTGGATGGTGGTGCTGGGCCAACCCAGGACATCATAGGTACCACACCTTCCTAACACTTCGACCCTTTAATACAGTTCCTCATGTTGTGGTGACCCCCCAACCATAAAATCATCTTTATTGTTTTAAAAATATTCTGTGTATTAGTGTTTTGTCTATATGTAGGTCTGTGTGAGGGTCCCACATACCCTGGAACTAGACAGCTGTGAGCTGCTGGGAATTAAACCTGGGTCCTTTGGAAGAGCAGTCAGTGCTCTTAACCACTGATGTCAGCCCAAACTGCTCTTCATAACTGGTGGTCTAACTCCTTTTACACAACCCCTGCTCCTTATCCTGTTCTAGGCTGTTTGCACTGATGGCAAGCTTTTCAACCACTTGGAGACTATTTGGCGATTCAGCCCTGGTATCCCTGCCTACCCCCGAACCTGCACTGTAGACTTCTCGGTGAGTCGGGGTTTACACAGACCTGGGACCAGGCATGAGGGTAAAATGGAGCACTAAACACTTCAAGTCAATACGTATTCAGGTCTGTCGCTATCCATATTTGTCTTTCACTCAGTTCTAAGTTGGGGTTGTAAGTAGTAGGTAGTGTCTGGAGGGTGAGGAGAAGGAAGTGTACATCAGAACCCTTCCAATGTGGTCTTCAAGTTTCTGATTGTCTCATGTGCATTTCCAGATTTCCTTTGAATTTCGTTCTCTGCTGCACTCCCAGCTGGCGACCATGTTTTTTGATGAGGTTGTCAAACAGAATGTAGCTGCCTTTGAGCGCCGAGCAGCCACCAAGTTTGGTCCAGAGACAGCCATCCCCCGTGAGCTGATGTTCCATGAAGTGCACCAGACTTGAGACAGGGCAGCCCCATGCCTCCACCCCTCCCCACCCACTTATTTATTTGGTTTGGCTCTTGCTCAGAGAGGTCTGAGTTTCACCTCTCTATTCTTTCTTCCTAACTAACCCTGGCTGCATGCTGGCTGGATGCGTGGGAAAATATAGCAGATATGGAAGTGAGATGCACGGGAAAATGTCAGGAGCTCTGAAAGCCTCACCCGGCAAGGGCCGGTACACACCCAATACAAACCAGGGCTGTCGTTGTCCCTGGGCCAGGGCAAGAAACCTTAATACCCAGTCAGGCGAATCTAGCAACTTCCTCACAGAGGTATTGGCAGGGTAACTTTTACCCTGCTAAGATTTCTCAGGAGGAAAGAAAGGCAGCCTGCCTCAGTTTAGGAACTGTCCATGGAGTCTGACAGGAGAGGAGCTGCTTCACCATGGGTGACAATGGGTGACACAGAGCAAAGGAGGAATCCCTTAAGAGCGCCGTCTACACTCTTGGATATACCTTCCTCTTCCATGTGGCCTGAGTTTTTATAAAACGTCAATAAATTGTGGCAGTGTGAATTTGTCTTTTTTTGTACTGTGGGGGGGGGATGGGAGGCAGGGGACAATATAATACAGAGTGGAAGACGTCATAGCTTCCTTTCCTGTGGGGAAGGTGTAAGAAAACCGTCTCTTGGACATAGTGTCCCTGCTAACTACACAGCATGCCCTGTATATGCCAGTCTTTCATACTTTTTCGGAAGGTCAGAGGTAGCAGGAGTCTCAGGACAGATTCATATGGTCTTAGACCTCCCGTACATCTAATGCCCCCCAGGGCCACCCCTTAAGGAAAGTGGTAACGGAGACACAAACTACAAGCTCCCTCTAGTGTCTATCTTTGGACCTAGCAGTCTCTCTCCATTTGTCCTTGTCCCTTTCACCCAGTGGGCTAGGCCAGCTCCTGGCTTAGTCAGGCAAGTACTTGTGAGGTCTCTTACAGTCTTTCCAAATTAGGAGGGATGGGGGTGAAAGGTGAAGGATTTCCTAACCTTGGGGAAAGACCGAATGGCTTTGGAAATCAGCCTTCCCTCTAAATGTCCAACTTGCCTGAAGAGATAGGAAGACACACTAGTTCAAACCTTCCTGACCATGTCCTCCATCTCATAATGACTCTTTTAGGCCTCATGTTAACAGCAAGCTCAAGCATTGTTAATAAAAACATTTATTATTTTTCATTTTATACAGAACAACCCGAAGTCTGCATCATGACTGAACAGTTACCCAGGGGTTTACAGTGTGTCCATCTCAACAGGGTGGTACTGAGGTTTGGGTCCCACACAAACACAGGCGGGAGTTTTGGGGTAAGGGGGTCACAACAGGAGTGTATCTCAGCCCCTTCTCAGAGAAGAGGCAGTGGAGCGTTCTGAGTCACTGAAAACCTGTGCAAATGCAGCTGCTAAAATAATCATCCCATGAGCGCTGACTTAAACACATCGATAAATAAAGGGACATGTCCTTGACACGGGGGATGAGCAAGTGGCCCACTGTTTTCAATGCTCTCAGCCCTAGATCCAATTGATATTCAAAGGAAACTATATCCAATTGCAAGTGATTTTCTGTTCAAGAAGAAAGGCTAGAACCCCTGGGACCAGACCTTGGAGAGGCTGGCCATCCCTGAGCCCTTGTTCTGTGCGCCAGAGCATATTAACATGAGAAACCAATGTCAGAAGAGTGGCTTATGTTCCATGGGAGTAAAGGCCTAGTTCACGTTAAGTACTGACAAAGCCGAATGACTGGGAAGACCACAGGTCATAGATCACAGGTCACAGATCTGCTAAGTACGGGGACCCTAGCAGTGGCTAGGACAGGGAGACGTAGGGCATCCTCAGCTGAGGCACGGCAGGTATAGGAAGTCTGGAAGGAAGGAGAACACTCCCAGACCTTAATTTCAATGGTATAATTTAAAAAGAGAAATAGAATCGTACGCTGGGTACTAATCACAATGAATACCATGTCACTTATGGTCACCAATAGCATAAAAAGTTGCCAAGGCGTTTCCAGCCAGACAACAGATCTTGCTAGGAGGTGCTTGTGTACACAGGAAAAGGCCCTAAGGTTTGACACAGCTGACACCCAACAGGGTTCCTATGGAAGAAAAAAAAAAAAAAAAAAAAAAAAAAGGGCCCGGCCCTGGCCTCAATGGTGGAGGCTGGTAGAGTAGAAGCAGAAGCTTCCGGGACTACAGCTCTCATGTAACCTGCTTTGACCTAAACAAGAGGAGCCAGATTCTCTGTCTGGAGAGGGTGGGCAGCCAGCTCTAACTTGACCACATGCATTAGCCCTGGTCAACCTACAGTGTGGGCAACTCATACCAGGTAGGGAAGTGAGCTGGTGAGGACAGGAGGGGTCGCTTTTCATCTCTTAAGTCTTAATTTATATTTTAACATCAAATGTATTTTCAGTGCCTCAGATACAGTTTAATCTTAAGTCTTAAAGGCCCCTGAAACAAAACAAAATTATACTTTATTTTTAAGCTTCCTCAGTTTCTAATAGTCAGTTTCCCCCAACCTCCCATTTTACCCTGATTTAGAGTCCACAAACTTCATCAGACCATCCGTGCTCATGGACTTAGGCCTTTCTAGTGGGAAACCCAGGGCTCGGCTCCAGATGAGTTGTGCCAGAACACCCAGAGCCCTCGACACTCCGAACAGGACTGTGTAGTAATTCATCTCCGTCATGCCATAGTACTGTTAAGGAAGAAGAGGAGAGGAGGCTTTATTAAAAGCCAGAGACCAATTTCCCCCTTTCACCAAGTCTTAGCCCACTCAGCCTTAACTACAAAGAACATCAGGGAAAGTAAAGCATGAGCAACTGTGTCAAAGGGCTCGCTCTGTAAGGGAGGTGACAGAGGAGCCCTTGCTCTAGCAGAGCCTGGGGCTGTAGACCTGAAATTCTATCTACTTAAGAGGCTGAGGCAGGAGATCAAAAGCTTTAGGTCAGAGACCAAGGAAACAGCTTGGCTGGCAGACTGTCCTTCAGATTCCCAGCATCTAAGTCAGGGTGTAGTGGCATGTGTCTGGGATCCCGTGAGTGGGGAGTTTGTCACTGAGGAGTGGAATCAATGACTTCCAGGTTCAGAGAGAGACCCTGTCTCTGAAAGTAAGATGGAAAGCAACAGGGGAAGACATTTACGTCACCTCTGGCACAGACAGTGTCAGGCGGGGGTGCGTGTACACCTTAATTCAAAGCACTTGGGAGGCAGAAGCAGATGGAGTTCAAGGCCAAACTGTCTACACTGAGTTCCAAGCCACTCAAAGCTCTCAAGAGCCACACACTAGGCTTTGGGTCCCATGCCCCTGTTGTGATCAGGAGTTGATTTCGGGCGTGGCGTGAGAGGGAAAGCACTCACCTGGAGCAGCACCCCACTGTGAGCATCCACGTTGGGCCAAGGGTTCTTGGCCTTTCCTTGCTCTAAGAGGATGTTGGGTACAATCTTGTACAGCTGAGCTACCAGCTTAAACAAGGGGTCGTTAGGCAGATGTTTCAGGGCAAACTCCCTCTGACAGGAATAGCGTGGGTCAGTCTTCCTCAGCACTGCATGTCCATACCCTGGGACAACCTGTCAAGGGCAGGGGAAAATTACAGAAGCATATTCAGGCACACCATTCCCCTTTGTTTTAAGGTGATTTGGTCCTGGTGGCTCAAACAAGACTGTAAACTCAGTCCATTTAAGCAGAGAAACCCTGTCTCAAAATAAAAGAATAATGTAAGGGCTGGGTATACAGCTCAGTGGTAGAGCGCCAGTCTAGCCAGAAGATGCTGGGGTCAAGCCAAGCATCACAGAAAAGGAAACTAAACCCACAAGTTAAACAGATGGGAAACAATAGGAAAGGTGGCCTTTTCTGGCTAATGCAGGAGCCGCTTTTATTCTTTTTTACCCCTTGAGACAACGTCTCAATGGCCTGGAATTTTCTTTCAAATTGCAGTGTTTGGGTCTCAGTCTCTTCCTGGTTGCTTACCCGTCCTGAATTGAGTGTATTCCAGATGTAGTCTCGTAACTTCTCATCTGACACATCTTTGCCCACTTCCTTCTGTAGCTGTGTTAGCCAGACAAGCACTTCCTACGTGGTAGGTTTAGGGTGGGGAAGACAGATGTCAATACACATGCCAAGGAAGGAATGTCAAGATAAAGCACAGGAAGAAGGAAAGGCTAGCTCACCTGATTAGCTAGTCCATGCAGAGGCCCTGCAAGCCCATTCATGGCCGCCGCAAACGACAGGTAAGGGTCTGAAAGGGCGCTGCCAACCAAGTGGCTTGTGTGGGCACTTACATTACCACCCTCATGGTCACTGTGGGGACACAAGGCAGAGCCAGAGAGAGAAAGGAAAGGCTAGTTATGGAGCAGACATGGCTTTTTTGGGTCCCATCTTGGCCTCACGGGCTCCCAACACTCTATGGCAGTCAGCTGGCCCTCCTCTCTCCCTCCCTCCCACACCCACTCTTCTTCACCCTAACCCACTATTAGGGTCAACTGCAGAGCTCAAACCACACATTAGGCAAACTGTTCTCAGCTACTGACCCCATTTTAATAATGATGGCCACAAGAGGGCGCTCCTGGAAAGCGCTTATCCTTTCCCAATCAGAAAGGATGTGCCTCAGCTTTCAGCTTTTCTCCCTTGTTTCTTGCCCACTGCCAATCTTACAAGATGCTTCCATCTCTCTGCTACAGACCATCTGTTCTCAGATAATAACATGAAGGAGCTCTCTTTCTTTTTTGTGTTCTCTGTAGCTTTGTAGCCTGTCCTGGAACTCACTTTGTAGACAGACCAGGCTGGCCTCAAACTCAGAGATCCAGTTGCTTCTGCCTCCTGAGTGCTGGGATTAAAGTTGTGGGCCACCGACGCCCGGCAAAGGAGCTTTTTTAATGTATCTAACCCTATCCCACCCCACCTCCCACTTGCTGGGCATGGTGGTAGAAACCTTTTTAATCCTGGCATTTGGGAGGCAGAGGCAGGAGGGTCTTTAAGAGTTTGAGCTCAGGACAGGCAAGGCTATGTAGATCCTGTCTCAGAGTTTCCCATCAATCCAGGCACCTGAGGGATATAATTACTAACTGTAGCTCACCTGTGGATGGTGAGGTACAAACGCATAAGCTCAGTGAACTGTGGTTCAGTATAGCCTAACATGTTGGTAAAATTGTGGGACCAGTCCAGCTTAGAGTCAATGGCCCCAATGCTGCTGCCTTCCCGGTAAAGATTCCTGTAGATTTTTGCTGCAACACAAGGTAGCTTTGCAATCAGGTCCATACAATCTTCATAAATCAACTGATGAAAGAAAAGATGGAGAAAAAAGGGAATTACGAGCCAAGCATTAGGCTGCAATACTGTTTTGTTTGTCCTTCAACAGCTTCTGGGTGGTTCTGTATTCAGGGTACGGAATGACAATAACAACACAACTGGGGTTCTCTTATGTTCCATGAATCCACGTGAACACAATCCTCCGTTGTTCCCATCTACTACACTTTGTCCACTCACAGAGGAGGAACTCAGAAGTATTAACTCTGTGAAGTCCCTTTTTTCCTGCCATCCCTGTAGGCTCAGGGTCAGAATTCTTGGAATGTTCAAGTGCCTGCTGAGCCTTCTCACTGGCCCATTGTCTAGAATTAAGTCTTTATTTCTTTATTCTAATGTTTAATTAATTCTGTTTCTTAGCTTCCAGTGCTGACCAATTATTGAATAGCAAAAGCTTCAAGGTTTTAGATATGTATTATATGCTAGATATATTTCTTATACAAGGCTTTGATATACATATACTTTGATGGAAAACTTGCCCAGCATGTAGGAAGCCTAGGTTGATACCTGGCATTTGCCTAAAAATTTACCCAAAATATGGGGCTGGAGAGATGGTTCTGTAGTTAAGAGCACTTGTTCTTGGAAAGGGCCCAGGTTCAGTTCTCAGCACCCAACAGGGCAGTTAACAATGATGTCACTCCAGTTTCAAACTCCCTCTTCTGGTCTCCACAGGTACTGCAGCATGCGTGTGGCGCACAGACACACTTGCAGACAAAACATCCACACATGTAAAAGAAAACCTTGAAAAACATATCCCAAGAAGAGCACACAAACTGGTTATTGAAAACATATCACTGGGCAGTGGTGGTGCACACTTATAATCCTGGCACTTGGGAGGCAGAGACAGGCAGATCTCTGAGTTTAAGGCCAGCCTGGTCTATGGAGTTAGTTCCAAAAGAAACCCTGTCTCAAAGGAAAAAAGAAAAAGAAAACAAAACATACACAAGTAACATTATACAGACCTAGCAGGTTATATTTACCTGTTCAGGAACACACACATGGGATGTCCTCTTAAACCTAGCTACATAATTTATACTTGGTGGTATGTGTGGAATTGGAAAAGGATGGTAGTAGTGTGTGGTGGGACAATACCGTGGCCTTTCCACACACCAACAACAAGATTCAAACTAGTGAGATCACTTTTCATTTTCAGAAAATTAAGTGTTTCAGGATCTTCCCTCTCCTGACAGTATCTTGGGTTTAACCCAGAATGTGACAGGCATTAATTAGTCCTCCTAGACTGCAATGTGGTTAGCTATCGTTCACCCAAATTCTGAGGTGTCATGAAAGTTCCCCTTATTTGGGGCTGGTGATAAGGTTCAGTGGGTGATGGGATCTGATCCCTGGTACCCACATTGTACGAGGAGCAGCAAACAGATTCCTATCAGTTGTCCTCTGACCTTCACATACTGTATGAGTGCACAAAGTAACTAACAGGAGGAAAGGAAAGGATGCTCTATCTTCTTTATAATTAACAGAAAGCATGTCTACAAGGAATTTTAGTGTTAGGGACAACTCGTGGCATGTGCTCTGTGATCCCATTACAGCCCAGTCACACTACATAGGGCTCCTACCTCCCAGTACTTGGTTCGGTTGATGCCCTCTGCGTACGCCCGAGCAAAGTTGCTTTCACTGTTGAGGGCTGTGATGGCCGCGCTGAGCTGAGACATGGGATGCAGATTAGTAGGAAAGTTGTCCAGCATGGTGACCACATGAGAAGGCAGAGCTGCCCTTTTGGCCCATTCTTGTGAGAGCCAAGACACCTGTGAAAAAGGAGATCTGATCAAACACAGAACAATACCCGAGAAAAGATAATCTCAGGGCTCAGTACAACCTGCTCAGTCACAGTCAGACCCTGCTGGTTCCTTCTCAAAGCTCTCTATAAATCCCAGCCATGGCAGAGGCTTATGAAGGTTAAATGCTGAAGAGCAGAGCAAAGCAAGGCAGGGGGATGGGAGAGCCAATGCTGACCATACCTGTTCCTCCGTAGGCATCTGTCCAGTTACCAGCAGCCAAAATAGGCCCTCAGGGAGGGGCTCTTCCCCACCCTTAGCCTTAGGCAGCAGTTTCTGGCACTCAGGGATACTATGACCACGGAAACGGATGCCCTTGACAGAGAAGAGAAAGAATCACAATCAAATGCATTATCTGTCAGTCACACAATAAATAGACTGGTCCTAGTCATACCAGACTAGGTGAACACACTTGCCTAGTGGCCTGAGTTTGATCCCTGTTTCAAAACAAACAACCAAACACCCACAGAAAACAAGAAAAAGATAGATTGATTTTATAAATATTCATTTAAATTTTTTTGGATACACAGCATGTCAATGTAGTCCTGGGACTCACTCATTATGAAGACCAGGCTGGGCTTGAACTTGCAGAGATCCAACAGCCTCTGCCTTCTGGGATTAAAGATGTGACCACCATAGCTGGCTATGAGTGTGTAAGTCTGTGTGTGCATATAATATGTCTTAATTGCTAAACCACCTCTCTAGCTCCATAAATGTGTTTTGTTTTGTTTTCCAATTAAAATGCAAAACAAAGAAGCAAACACAGGCCATGAGTTCAAGGCCAGTCTGGTGTACACCCTAAGTTCCAGGCCAGCCAAGGCTACACAAGGAGACTTATTTCAAAACAAACAAGAACGAAAACCAAACGTGAGTGCTCACTTCCCGGTATTAACTGTTCACACACTGACTTTGGCCTTTGTTCTCTGATGCCCTAGAGAGAGCTCTTCCCTGCACTGCTCAGTTTTCACACTATCTGTATGGTCAGACCCACTGACCATCACGCACGGTCTCTTACCTCATCAGGGTCAAGAACAGATGTTTCATACACAAGTCCTTTCATGCCTCTCATGCCACCATACATCTAAGGAAAGAAGATGTACCATTGTCAGGCTGGCTGGGGCCAGGGTGGTGGTCAGAGCTTCATGGAACTCTGGAGAAGTTTACTCTCTCAGCAAGACTACACTTAGGAGGCCATTTCTGGGGTAGAATTTCTAGATGCTCGCACTAAGTCTCTACTGTTTCTTTAATATACCTACCTTTCCTTCCTTTTCTTAACAGTGTTTTTTCTCCTGATCATTCTTAACCCCGTCCACATTAAATCTATAGTTTGGGATTAGCGCTACCACGGGCAAAGAAAAGATATCCTAAGGCTGCACCAGAGGATTTACTGGGGCTACAGTTTAACTGGATGGCTGCCACAACTTCAATCAAAAGGCAGCCCAGCCCTAGCTAAAGAGCTGGGAACAGGACTAGAAGCTACATTCATCTTTGTCATAGGTGAGTAAGTGAAGAAAATGGCTCCCTGTGGCACAGCTAAGACACCACTGCAGCCCTTACCATGTCCACAGTGATCTGGCCCACCACTGTCTTCCCATGCTGCTGTCTGAAGGCTTTAATTCGGGCCTGCTCCTTGGGTATCAGATTGCTCAGTACATCTTTCAGATTCTAGAAAGGGAAATAGAAGGGTTAAGTGATAGGAAACCAGGTAGGGCTTCCTGCTGTAAAGAAGGTATGTGAAGACTGCTTGTCATCATCTCTACCTGCCAGGCACTGGGAGGAGGGAATGGGAAGACGCAGGGATGAAAATGTTCTGGATATGGACAGTGGTGTTCACTTAATGATTAAAAAGTCAGGGATGGTGGGTGAATGCCTCTAATCCTAGCATTCAAGAGGCCGAGGCAGAAGAATGAGCGAGGCCACCCTGTCTCAGGTATTTGACAAAAGGGCTATATATAAGAACCTGTATTAGGAAACAAAAACAAAAGACATTAATAGTAAGTTTATTTCATTTAGGGGTCATGAGTATGGTTTAGTGGTAAAGTCCTTGCCTAGCACATGTAAGCCCTGGGTTTAATGCTCAGCACTTAAAAAAGGGGGTGGGATTTGCTATTTCCACAGCACTACTCCACTGAATAAATTATTTCTTAAGGGGCTGGAGAGGGGTACTGGAGGAGATGCTAGAGAGATGGCTCAGCAGTTAGAAGCAGACTGCTCTTCCAGAGGACCCAGGTTCAATTCCCAACACCCACATGCTAGCTCACAACTGTCTGTAACTCCAACATCTGACACCCACACCCACACACACCCACACACACCCACACACATGCTGGCAAAACACCAATGCAAATAAAGTAAAAGATAAATTATTTAAGGGGGGGGGCTGGAGAGATGATGGCTCAGCAGTTAAGAGCACTGGCTGTTCTTTCAGAGGACCAGGCTTCAATTCCCAGCACCCACATGGCAGCTCACAACTGTCTGTAGCTCCAGTTCCAGGGGATCTGATACCCTCACACATGCAGGCAATGTGCATAAAATTGAAAAATATTTTTAAAACTAATAATAATCATAACAATAACAGTCTTGCACATGCTAGGTAGGAACTCTGTCAGAGTTAGCTCACCAGCGCTATTATTATTTTAAACAAACAGCTAATTTTTAGAGCAATTAAAAAGAAATAACATACTTCATTTTCACTTTACTTTTCTCTTTTTCTATGCAGAATGTCTAAACTAATTTACAATTGTCTTTCATTGACTGTAGAAAAGGTGTTTTGTTGGCTAATTCCAATAGACTTAAGATAATAAGGCAAGTAGTTGCTGAACTCTCTATCCTGAGGTCAGACTGCTGCAAGGACTCTGCACTCCTTGCCAGATCTTACCGTGGAAGAGGCACTGGCATGCCGGACAGCAAGAACGAGGCAGGACGAATTCTGCAAAAGAGATCAAGACAAAACCTTATTAACTGGCCAGGCGTTGGTGGCACACGCCTTTGATCCCAGCAGAGGCAGGAGGATCTCTGTGAGTTCAAGGCCAGCCTGGTCTACAAGAGCTAGTTCCAGGACAGCCTCCAAAGCCACAGAGAAACCCTGTCTCGAAAAACAAAACAAACCTTATTAGCTAACACCCTTCCCTCCTCTGCATTAAGGAGCTGCAGACAGACTCTCCATTTTCACCTTCTGAGACAGTTTGCATAAAGTTTTATCAGGCCATAAATAGCCTGGCAGAAGTCTGCTTCTTATATCCACAGCATCACTAGTATTCTTATAAGAGTTTCTCCCTCTCTCTCTCTCTCTCACACACACACACACACACACACACACACACACACACACACACACACACACACACACAAAGTTCCTGGACCACATAGTTGTTATATAGAGCATCTAGTCCATGTAGATTCACTTGTCAATATTTGTGAGTGGCCCCCAAGAAAACTGGCCTACTACTGATGCTGCTATGAAATCTCCATCACAGCTGGGCCTCTAAGTTCCAGGACAGTCAGAGAAATCCTGTCTCAACCTCCCCCAAAACAAACAAAACAAACCCCATTACTTAGTCTTTTAGCATCACTTTACCTGTCCAATCTAGGACAGCCCACAGGCAGGGGCAATCTTTCACAATAGCATTTTTAACCCTTCTGGCTTATTTTACTTTTCCAGAGAATCAGACAGGTACCCTGATTACACAGATACTAATCACAACTGATGTAAGCTTCAAGCATCATGTTCTGTTTTGCCCCGTTCCCCTCCCCCAAAAGAGGAATAGTAAGGTTTATCCCATCTGCTCATCCCTTCCGGTTTTAAAAGCACACAGAATATCTACAAAAGAGCAACTGACAGATGACTACAGCAATGGAGGAGCTAGAGCGATGGCCCAGTGGCAGCTCACAACCTTCCTATGTGACTCCAGTGCTGGAGGATCCAATGCCCACTTGTAGACTCTGCAGGTACCAGGTGCTCAGGCACACATGCAAACTCCCACACACATAAAATTAAACATCACAAGATAAAGAAAAGTTAAGGAAATTGGAAGAATTTTTAAGGTAGTAAGTCACCCTGCAAGCTATATGTGACTTCTGTTTTTACATGTCAACTTGAGAGATTAAAAATACCTAAGGTAACAGTGTTTCCAGAAGTGATTAGAAAGAATGTGGGTCTGACCTCATCAGCAGGGGCTCTTAGAGCAAAACCAGAAAAGGTAATCAGTGTCTTGTCACCCCCAGCTAGAAAATACTTTTCCCCACAGACCTCAGCCTTTGTACTGGTTAATTCTCAGGCTGTCCGGTGCATGGACTTGAAATGAAACGTAGCACCATTATTCATGTATCCTGCTTGCTTCTGTAACTGTGAGCACACACACAAATATCACATTTACTTTTTTTTGGACAAGGTATTTTTCAAAGAGCTCTGGCTGGCTTGGAACTCAGATCAGCTTGTCTCGGCCTCCCAAGTTCTGGGTTTAAAGGCCTGTGCTCCTGGCATTTTTATACAGTATCTATGTATACTGTACACATACACACACATACTGTATACTGTACACATACACACACAATCTTACTGACTCTCTAAGACCTTGATCACAAACTATTCAAAATGACAAAAGGATAAATTCAAGTTAGAATAACTTTAATTACAAAGAATGCAGAGTACTTGATTTCGAATGGAAAGCTAAGCATGGGGCGGTGCACACCTGTAGCACAGCACTTGGGACACAGAGGCAGGAGGATCACAACTTCTATGCCAGCCTAAGACTATACAGTGAGACATGTCTAGAGAGATGGCTGTTCCTGGCTATTCCTCCAGGGAACCAGGAGTTACCAGCAGCCACACACAACTTACAACCATCTGTAACTATAGTTCTAGAAATCTAATGCCCTCTTCTGGTGTCCACAGGTACCAGGCACAAAGGGTACATGCACACAGGCAAAACACCCACACAAAAAATAAACAATCCCAGCACCCAGGAGGCCAAGAATCAGAATAAGATCACCCCCAGCTGCAAAAGTTTGGGCCCACCCAGCCTTAAACAAAAGAGACCATGTCCCCGCCCAAAAAAATTAATGAAAATTCACACTTGGATGTCAGCCCTAATTTCAATCTACAGTTTACATGAGAAAACACATCAAGGCCTAAATACAGGTCTGACATTTTACTGTTCCTTTGGCTATGAGACCTACCATAGTGTCACTTTTTAAATCTCAAACAGTAATAAAAAGCCAACTTTAGGGATATGGGAGTTGACTCAGTATGCATTTACTTTGCAAACATTAAGACCAAGCCCAAATCTCCAGCATGAAAGCCAGACATCACTAAATTGTGCTTTGTTAAATCACTAGGCATATAATTATCAAATAAATGTAATCTATAAATTCTTTTCAGAATTTTTCTTTCTTTCTTTCTTTGTTTTTTTTTTTTTTTTTTTTTTTTTTTTTTTTTTTTTGGTTTTTGGAGACAGAGTCTCTCTGTCCTGGAACTAGCTCACTAGCTCTTGTAGACCAGGCTGGTCTTGAACTCAGAGATCCACCAGCCTCTGCCTCTTGAGTGCTGGGATTAAAGGCGTGGGCCACCACGGCCAGAATGTTTTAAATGCATTTCTAGTCCATAGCTAGTATCCTGTAAAAATATAGGCTGTTATTAAAGAAAAAAATGGCAACACAACAGCATGGCAGCTTGTACCCAGAACTTAGAATCCTGTCAATCTATCCAGAAAAGGGCGAGCTTCCTGCTCCCAGGCATTAAAGCAGACAATGAGAAAAGACATCCAAACTTGTCCCTGATCTCCACATGTACATGTATCTACACTTAAACATGCATGTCCCACACACAGAGCAAGTTTGTATGAAATCATGCAGAGGGGCTAGAGAGGGGGCTTAGTGGTTTGGACACAGCAGCACCACATGGTGGACCACGGCCATCCACACCTCCACTCCCAGAGGCTCTGCATGCACTCTTCTAATCTCCATGGGAACCAGGTGGTGTGAAGACACATATGCAGGCAAATCATTCATACAGATAAAAATTTAAAATCTAAAGGAAATTTTCTAAAGCATATAGGACACTGATTTGTGCATAGATAGTAAATTCAATACTAGTTTCTTCTTCTTCTTCTTTTTTTTTTTTTTTTTTTTTTTTTTTTTTGGTTTTTTGAGACAGGGTTTCTCTGTGTAGCCCTGGCTGTCCTGGACTAGCTCTGTAAACCAGGCTGTCCTGGAAAGAACTCACGCCTGCTGCCTCCTGAGTGCTGAGATTAAAAGTGTGCGCCACCAATGACTGGCCAATACTTGTTTCTTTAAAATGCACCCGTCTTAGGCCAGATGGTGGTGGCACATACCTTTAATCCCAGCACTTGGGAGGTAGAGGCAGGCAGATCTCAGGACAGCCAGAACTGTTACACGGTTTTGTGTGTGTGTGTGTGTGGTCTCACTGATCTTGTATTGTATGGCATGGCAGTGACATGCTTATAATCCCAGCACTACAAAGGCTGAAGCAGGGAGACTCAAGTTCCAGGTAGCCTGGGCTACAGAGTAAAATCATGTATTTGAAAAAGGAAAAGAGCCAGGTGACATGGCCACACAGGCCTAGAATAATAGGACCATTTAGAACGTAGAGGGAGGGATCAAAAATTCAAAATCAGTGTTGGCTACATACTATATTGGTCTGAGGCTGCAAAAGCTTTGTGATACTCTATCATAAAAGAAGGAAAACAAAAAACAAACAGAACTGTAGTGGCTATAATATACCATCAATTGTCAAAACTCTTGCCCAGGGGGCTGGAGAGATGGCTCAGGGGTTAAGAGCACTGACTGCTCTTTCAAAGACCTGAATTCAATTCCCAGCAACCACATGGTGGCTCACAACCACCTGTATACAGGATCTGATGCCCTTTTCTGACCTGCAGGCATACATGCAGATAAGAGTACTCATACATAAAATAAACATTAAAAAAATAAACAATCAAAAACCAAAACCCTTGCCAAGCCAGAATACATCACAGTAAGAACCAATCAAACCCTAAGGAATGGAGAATTTCCTTTAACAATTAAACAGGAAATAAATCTCAACTTCCTATTGTCTTGGGAGGGTGCCATTTTTTAGTTTCTCGACAGGACAGGATCATCTATGGTACAGGTTGTTCTTGAACTCACTGTGTAACCAAGGCTGGCCTCAAACTCCTTTTTTTCTGTTTTCTCCCAGAGTGCTGGGATCACAGGGTTATTATTACTCTACATCCAAGCACATTCTGGAACTCTATATAATAATCATGAAAACCTGGACCCCTGCACCAGCAACCAAGCCACACATGCCTCCACTCAGCTACCCTGTGGTTGCCATGGAGCTGCAGACCGGCCTTGCACAGCACTCAGGTCATACTCACTCACTTTTGAATGTTACCTCCCAGCTCCTCCCCTCCTGGAGCTGTGACAGCAGAGATTCTGGCTTCTGGTTGCCTGACACAAGTAGTCACCTCACTGTCAGGTGAGTCAGGCAGTACCTCACTCAATAGGTCAGTTCCTTCATGGCATGAGCCAGAAAGAGCTACTCAAGCTTGGAGGACACTGGCTGACAGCCAGGATTCCCTACCGGGTGGGGACAGTGGAAGCACCCTGCTCAGTAAGAGGCCTTTCCAAACCTCACACGCGCTGTTGCCTCGATCATTCATTCATTCATGTTTCCCAAAACAGGCACGTGCACAGATTAAGATGACAGAACAAGACAGAAGAAAAATACCAGCAGAATTGCCATAACCGGTAGGAAAAAACCTGAGTGACAGAGCCTTCCAATGCAGAAAGAAGTAGTATGAAGAAAAAAGAAAGAAGCTGGGTGGAGGCAGCACTTGGGAGACAGAGGCAGGCAAATCTCTGAGTTCCAGGACAGCCAAGGCTGTTACAGAGAAACCCTGTCCGGAAAAACCAACCAACCAAATAAACAATGCCGGGGCAGTGCATGACTTTAATCCCAACAATCTGGAGGGAGGAGCAGGCAGATCTGAGAGTTCAACACCACCCTGGTCTATATAGTGTGTTCCAGATCACAAGGGATACATAGTGAGACCCTGCTCCCCCCCCCCCAAAAAAAAAAGCCCAGATGGAGTCCAGTTCCTGACAGCAATGCTGGACAGCTCCACCCCCTTCAATGCTAGCTCTGAGGGATCTGAAGCTGGCACTGCTCTCAGGGGAAAATACACAAGCATGCTCAAAGTGAAACAAGGGAAGCAGCCAACAGTCCTGCTCAGCTTTAATTCTACACAGAGGCAAGCAACTCAGTTTGAGGACAGCTTGATCCACACATCAAGTTCTAAAACAGCCAGTCTACATCCTGAGCCTCTGCTTCAAAAATAAATAAAAACACCAGTCTCCTAAGCATATCAATCTCAAAAATAAGTAAAACATGAAGGCCTTTGGGAGGCAAAAGCAGGATCAGGAGTTTAAAGCCTGCCTCAGTTACATTGGACCCTGTCTCATAGAAATTCAAAAAGAAATAACAAAAACTGGCCTAGGACAAAGAATCCTCTCTTTCCAGAACCAGGTCAGCTAACTAAAGCCATTTAAAGGCTGTGTTTCACAATGGCCATGCTGGATGTTAGCCTGATCCCTGACCCCTTAATACTAACAGGATAATTCTGTCATCTTTCTTTAAAAATTCTATTACAGTATTATTTGTGCTTAAGTGACACAGATAGACACCCACACACCCCATGGCTTTGGTGTAGAGGTCAGAGAACAAATTACAGAATTGGTCCTATCTTCCCAACATGTGGGACCCATGTGCTCATCAGGGTTGGTGGCCA